AGTATGTTCATCATCCGGAAGAGGGAAAGGGACAGAGACTGGCTGTTCCCCGCTGCGCGCGGCCCCACAGCTGCGCCAGCGCCCAGCGCGAGCTCGGTGGATGAACCAACCTCTGGCTTTTTGGCAAATACCATAGAAACCGACCTTAGAAATGGGCGGGGTGGGAGACGAGATGAAGAGATGAAGGACAACCATGGGGCAGCCCCATGTCTTGGGGAGGATCAGCCGACACGGGTTCAAGTCAGACTCTGCCAGGGTCTAGCTGTGTGACCTTGGACACAGGACCTCTGCTCTCTAAACCTTCACTTACTTCCTCCTGTGTCAGTGGGGACATCGCCCCGCCCTCCTGGGATGCTTGCAGCAGAAAGCCAGGCACCCACCCACCCCGGTAGCTCAGCAATTCTCAACCCCACCTGCCCGCTGTCCTGTTGCTAAGTCCTGGGAAGTGGCGAGGCCTTCCTGAGTCACGTATTTGTGCTCTTGTCATCAGAAACAGGGTCACTCAAGTCATCAGTGAGAAAGGGGCGTTTTCCCCAAGTCCAACAGCCTGTTGGGGCGGGGCCTCGGGAACTGGGCTCCTTCATTCATCGGTCTCAGATGGGGGTGCAGCGCCAGGGGGCGCCAAGCACGTGGTCCACACAGAGACCTGGCCCTGCAGGAGCTGGGCCCACCTCACTGCCCCTCTGCCTGCGTGTGCCCGGCCGTGCGGCTCAGTGGGCTGAGCATCGCCCTGTGGACTGAGAGGTCCCAGTTCGATTCCCGGTCAGGGCACGTGCCCGGTGGCGGCTGGATCCCCAGTGGGGGCCGTGCAGGGGGTGGCCGATCCATGTTTCTCTCTCACATCAATGTTTCTTACTCTCACTCCCTTCCACTCTCTCTCAAAAAAAAAAAAAAAAAAGTACGTAAGTGCAGGTCCCTCTGGAGGAGGCTGGAGCACGGAGGAGGATGAACTCGTATAAAACGTCAACTTTTTTTAAAGTGTGTTTTCAGTACGTGCTGTTCTGCGCCGAGTTTCAGCCTGGTGGAAGTGTCGTGTCGGCGCTGCTGAGGAGTTTATGACAGACACGTTCATCGTCCCGAGGTGCCGAGTGACGAGCACCTGAGTGAAGTGCTCTGGTCCGCCGGCGCGGGAGGCCCCAGGGAAAGCCGGAGCAGCGGAAGGCAGGGGAGGGGCCCCCACATTCACAACACAGCGGCACATCTGGGGGGAGAGGCTCTGAGTCAGCCCCCATCCTCTTGGGACCACGATGCCTGCGTCTGGAGCCAGGAAAGGTGGTGCAGAGCTGCCTGCTCTCCCCAGTTCCTCTCACTGGCCCGCAGGTCCCCCGACTCTCTCCTAGGCCTGTTCTAGATCTGAAGTGGGTGTGGACATGCACCACCCAATCCTTTGCCCCAGCGTCACCCAGGGCTCTGTGGCACCACAGTTTTGAGAAAAGGCAGCATATTCTAAAACCAGTCTGGAGACAAGGGAAGAATCATGCATCCATCCATCCATCCATCCATCATCCCTTCATCCATCCATCCACCTATCTATCCACCCACTCTTTGAACCATCCTTCCTTCCTTCCATCCATCATCAATCCATCCTTCATCCATCCATCCATCCGCCCACCCTTTTAACCATCCAGCCCTCCTTCCATCCATAGGCAACCAATGTTCTGATATCCAGTGTCACAGATTACGTTTGCTGACCTTGAACTTCAGAAAACGCAGTCATACGGGTGTTCTCTTTTGCTTCCGGTCAGCTTCTCGTAGTGATCAGACTTGTACGCGTTGTTGCATGTAGCAGGGGCTCATTGGTTTTGTTTTTTCTTTTTGCTGATCAGAGTTCCTTGAGCTGCACAGACTACAATTCGTTTATCCATTTTCCTGGTGATGGGCTTTCGGGTTGCTTCCGATCTTTATCTATTATGAACAAAGCTGCTAAAACCATTCTTGCACAGTCTTTTTCTAGATATATGTGTTAATTCCTCTTGGACAACTTGGGTTAAGTTGCTGGGTTTGTAGAGTTGAACCCATTGAATTGGGTCATGGAAGTTATTTGTTCAATTGTATAAGAAACCGACAAACAGTTTTGCAAAGTGGTTGACCACTTTCCAGTCCCAAAGGTATGAGGGTTTCAGTTGCTTCAGATTCTTCCGACATATGCCATCGCGGACCTATTTAATTTAGGCCATTGTCATGACCATGAAGTGGCGCTGAACACCCGGGATGACAGCGAGCATCCTTGCGTGCTTTGTCGTCTTAGGGCGAAGGTGCTCACCATCTCCACCGAGGACGATGTGAGCTGTGCATCTTGAGCGGATGCCTCTTATCAAACTGAGAAAGTGCTCTCTGTCGCGCCTTGGCTGAGTGACTGCTGCTGCCACACCCACGGAGACCGTGGTCGTCTTCTCCTTTATCCTCTTCATGGAATTACATTGATTCGTTTTCAAATGTGAAGCCTAAGTTATTTATATATTTACATCGTGCTGGATTCGATTTGCTCTTTTTTTTTTTTTTTTTTTTGGTACGTGCCTCTAGCGGAACTGAACCCGGGACTCTGGGCAGTAGGTGAGCGGAAGTAATAGGCATGGCTTTTCAGCCACCCCCTGGGAGCTCCTGCTCTGTCCCCTGGCCAGTGGGAGGCAAGCCTGGAAGATGGGCAGCCGGATCCCCAGGCATCTGGGGCATCTGCCTTTCAGGCTGGAACAAGGCTGAGAATAAACATCCGTCCTCCTGCCCTCGTGCATTTTGGAGTTTGCAATGGTGTCTAGCCTAACCAACTAGTAAACAGGATAAAGTGCATTCAGTACTGCCAGCCAAGCAGCTGGGAACTTGTCATCTGGCTAGAACGGAGTGACAGGGACTAAATTTACCTTTCCCCCGAAATAACTCAACAACTGGGCAAAACATATGAAACAATGGCTCTCAAGAGAGTGGATGTCAGACAGGAAGGGCGTGACAAAGACTAAGTGGAACTTGAAGCAAACGCAACCGATCAGGAGGGCCTGTGGAGGGCCTAGGGCTTATGGAAGTTCTTGTTCTCTATGTAATCGTGAGAACCCTACAGAGAGGACCCGACAGGAGGAACTCCATCTATAATCAAGCTCTGTGGGTCTAACTTCCTCTTCCCTTCTGTAAATTCCTCTCCACCTTGGCAGCAGGCCAGAGGAGTCTCTGCCAAGGCTGCGTGCACTGGGTTGCAACCTTTTCTTTTCCCCCTGAATAAATCTTTTTTGGTGACAAAACACTTAGTGTTATTTTTCAGTCAACAAACAGCAAATCAGTCCTTTTTTTTTAAATCCTCACCCAAGGATATTTTTGCATGTATCTTCAGATAGCACGGGACAGAGAGAGGGGGTGAGAGAGAGAAACAACGATATGAGAGAGACACATCGAGTGGGTGCCACCCACACGACCCCAACTGGGGTCAGGGACAAACTGCAACCGAGTTACATGCCCTTAGCAGGAACTGAGCCCAGGACTCTCTAGTCCACAGGCCAATGCTCTAACCGCTGAGCCAAACCGGCCAGGGCAGCAAGTCAGTCCTTGATCCCAGGCACCTTAAAGCCTTTCTGGAACAACACAGGGCACAATTTAAAAGTATCGCCCTGGCTGGTTTGGCTCGGCGGTCACAGCGTCAGCCCTTTGCCGCGGGTTTTATTCCCAGTCAAGGGCGCTACCTGGGTTGCGGGTTTGATCCCCTGGTCAGGGTTGTGCGTGAAGCAACCCATGAATATGTGTCTCTCTCACGTGGATGTTTCTCTCTCTCTCCCTTCCTTCCACTCTATCTAAAAAAATCAATGGGCCCTGGCCGGTTTGGCTCAGCGGTTAGAGCGTCCGCCTGCGGTCCCGAGAGACCCGGGTTCGGTTCCCGCTAAGGGCACGTACCTCGGTTGCAGTTTGTCCCCGGCCCTGGTTGGTCGTGCGGGTGGCAGCCACTCGATGTGTCCCTTTCACATCGATGTTTCCCTCTCTCTTCCTCTCTCTCCCTCCCACTCTGTGCAAAAAATGGAAAAATGTCCTCGGGTGAGGATAAAAAAATAAATAAATAAATAAAATTAAAAAATCAATGGAAAAAAATATCCTCGGGTGAGAATGAACAATTAAATAAACAAAACCTAATATTGATTCCTTCCGAGATGCCAGGGTTTTCCCCACCCCCTTCCTCTGTCCTCAGTGCCCCTCCACTTGGAAAGCCCCCTCCCGGGGACCACCCACCGCACTGGAGGCCTTTCCCTCAGCTGCACCCTGTCCCTCCCCGAAGCCCCCACTCAACCCTACGTCTCGGGCGCCTGTACCCCAAGCCACTGGAAGGCAGCCTCGGAGCCGCGCCCGCACCTGTGTCCCCCGCGCCAGGGCACGGCCAGCCCCGCACTGGGGGCTCCGTCGACTCCTGCCGACTCTCTGGAAGGCGCGGGTGGGAAGAAGTGACGCAGGCACAGGCCTCTAACCCAGAACAGGCGCGGGACAGTGTCGGTGTCGGGGCGCACGTGCTCCCCGGGGCACGGGGAAACTCCTGCGGGGACAGGCCTCCGCTTTCGTCCTCCGTCAAGTGAGGGGGCTCGGAGGCCCCGAGGCCCCTGCCAGCAGCGACGCGCACGCCCGAGTGCCAAGCAGGAGCCACCTTCCCGAACCCAAAAGGACACGATTCAACCTCAGACGACACCGGAACAGTCTCAGGGGAAGCCCCGGTCCCGTTTCTAGGGAGTGGAGAGGACAGGGGCCCGCGGGCCTCGGTTTCCGGGGTCTGGTGGCCCCGTCCTCTCCCCAGAAGCCGCGGGCAAGCCCTAGGCCGTCAGCTGCCCCGGGCGCCCGGCATCACGAGGCCGCGGCGTAGTTGCCTGGGAAACGCTCACGCGCCGCCGCACGTCTTCCTGGGCCTTGTAGTCCGCCGGCGGCTTCCGCCTGGGCCCGCCGCGCAGGAGGGACTACAACCCCCAGAAGGCAGCGCGGCAGGGCGGGGCGGGGCGGGGCCTTTGGCCGGCGCACAGCGGCTGCGCGGCCTGAGGAGGATGATGGCGTCGCGGAGGCGCGGACCCGGGTCGCGCGGGCTGCTGGCGCCGCCGCTGCTGCTGCTGCTGCTGCCGCCGCTGCTGCTCGGACCCTGGCCGGCGGCGGGCCACGGCGGCAAGTACTCGCGGGAGAAGAACGAGGCCGAGCGGCCGGCGAAGCGCGAGCCCGGGGCCGAGTTCCGCATGGAGAAGCTGAACCAGCTGTGGGAGAAGGCGCAGCGGGTGAGCGGCGGTCCCTCCGGGGCCGCTGGAGCTGCTCCGTCCGCCGGCGTCCAGCCCGCGTCCGGGCCTCAGCCCTCGGGGCCGGGCTCGCGGGCCGTCCGGTCCGCGCCGCCCTCCTGGCTCGGGGACGAGGCTGTGAGCGCCCAGTGCCTGCCCGGGGCGCTTGTCCCGCCGGGTCGGGGGCCCCTGTGCGCCGCCTGTGACCTCTCCCTTCTGTCGGGCACCGCACCCGTCTGCGCGCGGGGGTCTCACCTGCGCACCTGCAGGGGGCGGGGCCGGGGCGCGGGGAGGGGAGGGGAGGGGTGGGTGCCAGGAGGCCCCCGGGGCTCGCAGGTCCCCGCCCGGGCCGGCCACTCCGCCCGGGCTCCCTGAATTGTGCTTTGCACCCCGTCGCGGGGCCAGGGATCAGAGCTGCGGCTGGGTGAACACCGGGCCCCGGTGGGTTTTTCCATCGCTTGTCGAGATGTGACTGGCATGCAAAGGCCTGTGCATAGGTGACGGCACGTCTGGATGCATTTGAAATCGAGCGTCCCCTGTGGGGCCATCACCACCTCTGTGCCACTTGTTTCTGCCCAGCAGCCTCGCGCCGCGCATTGCCTGCCTCTCAGTCGTTAATGATTTATTCCAGTATTTAATGTTACACAGATTCTCCTTTGCGTTTGGCTTCTGTTAACTAGTTCTTTCCACAGGAACCGTTAACATTTAACTGTAATTTGAAGAGATACTAAAAGAATCCAGAGGGGGGGCAGGGGGGCAGCTGCTGGTCCCTCCTCAAGCCACAGAGGTCCTGCTGGGGCCCGGCTCCAGCTCAGACTCAGGCTGTCCTTAGCCACCCTCCACTCCAGGATTTGCCTGAGAATGCAGGTCCTCAGGGGAGGTGACTGGTCTGAGATCAGGTAGGTTTGGGAAACAGCTCAACAAAGCTGATAGGTTCCTTTGCTGCAGGACTTCTCAGAGCTTTTAATGTGCTGGCTGGTTTGGCTCAGCAGTTCGAGCGATGGCCCGTGGACTGAAGGGTCATAGGTTTGATTCCCAGTCAAGGGCATGTACTTGGGTTGCGGGTTCAATCCCCAGCCCTGTTCGTGCAGGAGGCCACCAATGGATGTGTCTCACATCGATGTTTCTAGGTCTCCCTCACTCCCCTACACTTTGTCTAAAAATCAATGGGAAAATATCCTTGGGGGAGAATTAACCAAATCTGTCTGTATGTGCTGATGTCACGGTGTGGTGTGCAGCCTTCCCCACCCACCTAGCTCCCCCGGAGCCCTGGCCTGACTGTCCGAGGCACATTCTGGGTCACACACATCTTGGCAGACCCACTTTACAAAGACAGTGCCACACTGGCCTGCAGCGCTGGGCGCCCGAGCCGCTGCGCACTGTCGGTTCTGACCAGCTGTTCTGTTGTGGGGACAGTAAACTTCAGAATCCCAGAGCAGGGTTCTTTTTCTGTGGGGTTTTTTTTTTTTTTTTTTGAGCATTTAGAATGCTTTCATCTTTCCAGTGAACATACCATTTGTATCAGTAGCTGCAACATTGTAACTAGCACTTCACTTAACTAGTTGGTAAGGATTTGAAGGGTGGGAGTAATAGGAGGGTGTTAGGTTTCACACTTCCTTAAAAACTCAAAAATCAACAGTACTTTCTTCTGTGCTCACAACTCCACAAACTTGAATGTAGTTTTAGCTTGAATCCCATGACTCAGCTGCTGGGCTGGGGGCTTGTGAAGAGGGAAAGCCCGCCTTCCGTGCAGTTCCTGGTGTTAGCACATTTCCTCCCATGACCCGCCCTGCTTGGGGGGAGGAGCCCTGGTCTGCTGCAGCCCATGAGGGGGAGTGGGTCATTCCTGCTGCAGAGGATGGGGTCCCTCTAAAAGCATCCCTGGTTTGGAGCTCACAATACACGTAAGCAGACAGTCCAAGTATCAGGTTATGTGTCAACGAGAGATGAAGTCAGGAAATCTGAGATGACAGATTTGTTTATAAAGGACCTTTAGGAGTCTAGGTTCTTTATCTGCTCACTCCCCAGACCACAAGCTCAAGTCCCATTCCCAGCAACCTGTGTCCCAGGGGGCCCGAGGGCTGAGGTGCCCAGCTTTGCCTTTCTTGGTGGTGAGGTCCTGTGTGAGACCGGCCCACAGCTTCCTTCCCTGACCTAAAACTTTCTTCAAAGGTTCTAGCGTGGGTAGTCTTCCCTCCCTCTTCCTGCAAACGGGTGCACATGTGTCCAGCCCAAGCAGACAGCCAGGCACTGGGGCGGCACCAGGCAATAAGGGAGCCCTGCACCCCCAGCCCTGGGTTTGTCAGTGGGGTCGTTAGCGAGTTCCTCAGGGGTGGGGCGTCTGCTGGCGTGTGATTGATTTTTACAGCCTCCAGGGTACTGGGACCAGTAAGAACTATTGGGTCATCACAGCAAGGAGGGATGGTGCTGGCCAGAAGCTGGGCGGGGGCTCCCGGGCTGAGCCAGGGAGCAGGGTCTCCAGGAACTAGAGGTCCCCCACTCAGCGCCTCAGTCAGCCAGTTCCCAGTTGGGTGCCCTGCTCACAAGGGAATTGGTTCCTGACCACTGTGCCAGGGGAAGCCATGGGGGGTACCTTTATTTTTTTGGAAGTTTTCCATAAGTTCAATCTTCTGTCCTAAGAGTTGCAGTTTCGTGATACAAGGACTGATTTCTTCACCAAGCCCCCTATTTGTGCCCCTGCCTCCTCCTACCCTGTTCACCCAGATGCCCCATGACTGTGCTCAGGGTCAGGTGGGAGGGTGGGCATAGTGTTCCAGGAGCTACCCTGTGCAGCCGGCTCTCCTGTGCCCACCGGCTAAGGCACAGATGGCAGGTGGCTCCCTGGGGACCTGGGGTGCCGGCATGCCATGCTGTAGACGGTTCAGGCAAGGCCAGTGGTCTTCACTCAGCAGGGCTGAGGTCCTGTGAAGTTCTGTGGGAACAGGTGTGGGATTCTGAAGGACTGGGACCCGCCTCCATCTCCTCAGGTCCCAGTGTCTCCCATCAGCCTTTTCTCAGGGGTCAGTTTCTCCTGAGCTCTGGTTCATCAGATGTGCTCCGTCCTGGTCCACAGCTGCAGCTTTCTCCCGTGGAACTGTCCGAGCTCCATGCTGATCTCAAGATACAGGAAAGGGGTGAGCTCGGCTGGAAGAAGCTGAAGGCCGAAGGCTTAGATGAAGACGGGGAGAAGGAAGCGAAGCTGATCCGCAGCCTCAATGGTGTGTTCCTCTCCGTGCAGGGGCGGCGTCCGGGCTCCTGTTCACGCGGTGCGCGGGCGGTGCGGGGGCCCTGAGGTGGGGAGCCGCCCCCACAGGTCTCCCTGGCAGCTTCAGGAGTGCCCAGGTGTAGGCGCTGTGTGCCTGTCGCCAGGCGACTGTCGGTGGCTCGGTGGAGGACCTTCTGCAGTTTAGGGAGAAGACGGAACAGGTGTCTGGCATCCAGGATGCGTGTTTCTCGCGGCTCGTCCCGGGCCTCAGTGGTCTGAGCCCAGGGGGAGCGGGTCCCTCGCGCAGGTGGTGTGGCTGAGGCAGGAAGTGAGGCCTCAGAACCGGGGGCAGTGGCACCCCAGGGCAGACAACGAGGCGCTGGTGTGGGCGGCCGGAGCGGCTGTGACCGGCCCCGCTCTCTCCTAGTCATCCTGGCCAAGTACCGTCTGGACGGGAGGAAGGACGCCCGGGCCATCAGCAGCAACTCCCTCAACGAGGGCACCGAGCAGGACAGCCTGGAGGACCCCAGGCTGGAGAAACTGTGGCACAAGGTACCCTGAAACGTGTGCCCTCATGTCGAGAATTGGGGCCCCTCTTTGCTACGTGGGGGTCTCTCGTGAGACCGCCGTGCTGTCTCTCGGGTCGCGTTTCCTGGGCCTCTGTCCCCTGTGCTGGCCCAGCGGGCACAGGAGCTGCGTCCGCTACAGAGGAAGGCCTCGGACGCGGAGAACCTGCCCGGCAGCCGGCGTGCTCAGGCTGGGCGGCCCGGGCTGGCTGCACCTTCACACGGCATCTGTGGAGGGCTTGGGTCCTGTGGGCGGCGTCTGATTCTGAGAGGTGCCCCCAACCGAGGGTGCAGACTCAAGAGGTCGCCGGGACCAGGCGGTAGTCGGAGTGCTCGCTTCGCTCCCCGCTGTCCACCGGTGCCTGTGCAGGACACTGTCTGGACCACACTGAGTGCGGCAGAGTTGGAGTCCTCACACCAGCCCATTGTCCTTGGTCCAGGGAGGACGCGGGGGGGGGGCTGTGGAGGGGGCTCTCTGTAGCCTGCAGGCTGAGCCTGGGGCCTCCGTTATCCACGTCACCCCACGGTTCCCGGCGGGGTGGGGGCCTGAGGTGTGGACGGAGGAGCACGACCCTCGCAGCTGTTCACTCGGCCACTTCCCCCAGGCGAAGACGTCCGGGAAGTTCTCCAGGGAGGAGCTGGACAAGCTGTGGCGGGAGCTCCAGCACCACAGGGAGAAAGTGCGAGAGTACAACGTCCTGCTGGAGACCCTGAGCCGGACGGAAGGTGTTGTCCCCCCCCCCTCCCTGAGCAGGACGGAAGGTGTTTGTCCCGACCCGACCCGTCCCGTCCCCCCCTCCCTGAGCCGGACGGAAGGTGTTTGTCCCGACCCGACCCGTCCCGTCCCCCCTCCCTGAGCAGGACGGAAGGTGTTTGTCCTGACCCGACCCATCCCGTCCCCCCCCCCAGCAGGACGGAAGGTGTTTCTTCTCCCCTCCCCCCCCCCAGCCCTCCCTGTGCAGCCCTGGCTCCGGAACGGAGCTGTGGGGAGGGACCCCACGCTGGTTCCTCACACCCCAAGTTTTCTGAGTGGGAATCTCGCTGTTTGGGAGCCCCTCCGGGTGCCTTGGACAGTTACAGGGAATGTCCATCAGACGAACACTCTAGTAGCTCGGGTCACTGCTCTCCACCTCGCTCCCACAGACACGCAGTTGACTGACCTCTGTGAGGGCACCGTTGTTGAGTGGGGGACCCAGGGGACCCACCCTCAGAAAGTCAGCACCCTGGAGGGCCGGCAGGGGGCCTCGGGGCTCCTGCAAAGTGCTGTCTTGGGACGTGGGTGCTCGTGTCTGCACATTTCAAAGGCAGGGGCCAGGATGGGAGCTGTCTGGGAGCACAGAGCCTGCAGGAGACACTCAGCTGGAATGTGAGCTCGGAGCCTCAGTGACGGGGCTGGCTCTGACTGGTGGCCCCAGCCCTCATCGGGCACCCCGCTTCTGCTTCCCACAGAGATGCAGGAGAACGTCATCAGCCCCTCGGACATGAGCCGTGTGCAGGAGGAAGCTGCGCTGCACAGCAGACACGCGGACCTGAAGGACCGGCTGCGGGGCATCAGCCAGGGCTACGACCGCCTGCGGAGAGTCAGCCACCAGGGCTACGGCGCGGAGGCCGGTGAGCTGGGCACAGGGCCGGCACCCCGCCGGTCTCCCCGCTGTCGGCAAGCGCACCCGGGCTTCTCTGTCCCTTTTCCTGGAAGGTGCACACTGTTCCCTTCACTTGCGTCCTGTTCCCATGGCTGGTTACGTGCCGGAACAGACCGCTTCACACCTAGGGGCTCGTTTGCAACAGCACTGCCTTCTCGAGCTCCAGGTCACTGCCCCCCCCAGGACCCGGTGCAGGAGCCTGGCGGGCGGGTGTTCAGGAAGTAGGCGTGGCTGGTGGGTCCTGGGTGCTGCGCATGCACACGTGCACACTGACCCCGTGCTCACATGCACCCACACCTCACGCACATGCTCCCACAGCGTGCTGGCGGCCAGGTGGGACACGCAGCCCCATGTGCGTCCCTGAGGTTGCCTTGCTCTGCAGAGTTCGAGGAGCCCCGGGTGATCGATCTGTGGGACCTGGCCAGGACGGCCAACTTCACCGAGAAGGAGCTGGAGGCCTTTCGGGTGAGCAGGGCGCAGGGCAGTGTTTTCGGCCGTCCAGGCAGGCTGCCTTTCACGGACCTTCCCCGTCTTCCCTCTGCGTCCCTCCCTCGTCGTCCGGTTGGCCTGTGGGGACCACTGCACACTCTGTCAGCTGAAGCTGCCTCCCGCAGTGCGGGGACTGCAGGCCCTGGCGGCGGGCCTGCGGCGCAGGGAGGGGACTTTGGACATGAAGAACGAGTTGGGGAAATTCATTGCTCAAAACATTGTTCTAGGAGGAGCTGAAGCACTTTGAGGTGAAGATTGAGAAGCATAACCACTACCAGAAGCAGCTGGAAATCTCGCATCAGAAGCTGAAGCACGTGGAGCGGTTTGGTGACCACGAGCACGTCAGCCGGAACAAGGAGCGCTACGCCATGCTGGAGGAGAAGACCAAGGAGCTGGGCTACAAGGTGCGTGCCCTCCGCAGGGGTCGGCCGGCCGCAGCCTCGCACCGGGCTCCAGCCTCCTGGAAGGGGCGGCCCTCCCGGCCCGGCCCTGTGTGTGCCGGCTTCCCCTCTGAGCCCCCCTTTCTCCTCTGCAGAGGGAGCTGCCCCCTCCTCACGGAGCTCCGGAGGCTTCAGACTCACAGCCTTGCTCCTGCAGGGCATCTGGGCTGCCCTGAGGGTCGGGTGGTGGGCAGGGGCCTCCAGCTCCTCCCGCCCGCTCTCGGGGCCTGTGGAGGGCTGGGACCTGTGTATTGTCACCGTTTTCCACCAGAATAGCTCTAGGGCTGTGGCCAGCCCTGCCTCGTGCTTGGTGACAGCCAGGTCGTGAGGTCCCTGGCCAGGTCACTTGTGCTGACCACCATCCAGGCGTTAAAACACGAGGGGCTTTATCCACGGGGTTTTACTGACGTGTGGTGACAGGCAGAAGGGGCCCTTTGGAGGTGACCTGCTGGGTGACAAACGGCACAGTCTGCCCTGGCTCCTGGTTTCTCGTGTTCTGGGGGTTTCCGGTTGATGTCCAGCAGCGCCCAGGTGGTGGAGAGCTTGTGAGGCGACAGCTGAGAGGGCTTCTCTCCGCCGCTCTCCCCAGGTGAAGAAGCACTTACAGGACCTGTCCGGGCGCATCTCCAGAGCGCGGCACAACGAGCTCTGACGGCCCGAGGCCCCGGCTCCGGGACCTTCCGAGGGGCCAGCTGCTCGGTGGCACCGTCTGGACGGGACTGGGGAAGTGTGACAGCGCCCAGTGGGCAGGATGGCCTCAGATGCCGTGTGCCTGGCGGGGGACCTGTGCACCGACTCCAGCTGCCCGCCGAGGGGCCGTCTGGGGCCGCAGCACCGGTCTGCAGACCTGGTGACTCAGCCGCAGAAACCCCAGGCGGGAGCCCTGTACAGGGACTGCCGCGTTCAACCCCCAGGGACCTGGCGCGCCACTCAGCCGTCTCTGCCTCTGTCTCACTGTGTCTTTGCCGCTTGGCCCTGGCCAGGCTGAGGTCCCCTCTTCCACCCACCCCACCTCGTCCTTCCCTGATGCAGGAGATGAAGGAAGGGCTGGTGGCGTCTTTCTGCCCCTGCAGGGAGGCCCCATGTCCCACAGAAGTGCCCAGTGCTCTGGAAGGGAGGGTGCTGCACAGTGGGAGGTCGGGGGTCTCCCACAGCTCCCAGGGGTGAACCTGGGAGACTGGTCCATCAAACATACGTTCACTCTGAGAAGCCAAGGCCACGGGCCACGGGCAGGACTTCAGTGAGGGGAGGTCGCCCGCAGCAGACCCCAGAGCAGCCCTGGGCCTCCATGTCGCGTCTGCCACTGACCAGGCCTCACAGGTGGGCGGTGACTGTCCACTGAGGCACGGCGTCCAGCGTGCAGAGCCCAGGCCACAAGCTTGGGTGCCAAGGGCCCCCATGTGCCAGCACACCCCAGCCCTCGTGGGGTCACATCAGTGTGGAGGTGAGGCCTGGCCATCAGACCGTGCTGGGGTGGACCAGTGCACCAGTCGCAAGTGGCAACCACCTCCACCAGCTGACCCCAGGGAGATGACCAGGGTCCAAGGACCCCCAACACTCATAGCTAACTAGGCTCGTGCCCCCCTCCAAGTTCATGGATTGAAGCCTAACCCCCCAGTGGGATGGTAGCTGTAGACGGGCCCTGCGGGAGGTGATGGGGTCATGAGGGTGGGGCCCATGAGGGACCGGTGCCCTTCTAAGAGACCCCGGGGAGGGCTCACCACACACTGGTCCCCCTGCCCCGTGGTCTTGGACCCCCTGCCTCCAGGACAGAAATAAATGCTTGAGCCACCCGTTTGTGGAGTCTGTTGAGGCAGCCCGGAGGACAGGCCACTCCTGGCTTCGGTGCGGTCGGATTCCCCGCTCACATCGCAGACGTGTGCCGGAGTGCGTGTCGGTGGGTGTGGGTGTGGTGGTCCGTCATGTGGCTGCCACGCTGCGTCCCTCCTGTGCGGGGGTATCCGAGCTTGGGATAGTAACGCTGGGTGGACATGCGTGTGTTCTGGCTCCCAGAGTGGGTGGGTTCTCCCCCATGCTCCTGCTGGCAGCCTGCCAGGACCAGGTGCTCACCCTCGGTTTCAGGAGGTCCACGTATCCGTGTGTGGAGTCTCGCGTTGCAGGGTGACTCGGAGAGAAACGGGAGGGAGTCCATCTGAAAGCACATCTTCAGATGCAGGTGATGAGGCCGACAATGGTCATTACCCAGAGGCCACTCTGGCCTGTTCCTGCACGTCACTGCAGGATAGACCGTCAGTGTGTCTGTCTCACCGGCTGCGGGACCCCGCGGCAGCTCCGTCCCGATGTACGGGTGTCCAGCTAGTTCCGAGGACTCGGTTTTTAGGCCACTTTCTCCTCGTGTTCCCATTTGTTACGTAGACCCCCTTCATCAGGGGTCAGCGGTCCGCCTCTGACCTCCTGGCCCTGATGACAGCCGCTGGGTGATGAGTCCTGGGAGTGGGGAGCAGGCGTTTCCGGTCCCCAGATTCATCAAAGCTCTGCTTTTCCACATGCACATTAGAGTCGGCTTCAGAAGCCTTACTGAACAGCTGTGAGACCTTTGACGGGTCTCCTTGGACACGGCGGGCACTGGGGACACGGCATCCTAGCCGCACCGGGTCTCCCGGCCGCCGACGCTGCTCGCGGGGAGTTCCCTCAGCGCCACGTCCCGGCTGCGGCCCACGGCCTCCCGCCCCACCGGCCCTACTCCTCAGTCTGAGACGGTGCTGTCGGGGTAGGTTTTTCATTTCTGAATCGTCCGTCCCCTCTGTTGGCGTCTGAGGTCCGTCCCTGCTCACGTCAACACAGCAGCCCTCCTTCCAGCCCCTCACCCCTCCTTCCAGCCCCTCACCGTCAACACAGCAGCCCTCCTTCCAGCCCCTCACCGTCCGCCCTGGCCAGGCGGCGTCCCCACGGGCCGTGGAGTGCGTCCCGGGGAGGTGCGGCGTTGGCCCTGGGCTCCCCCGGTGCCCTCGTGAGCGGGAGACAGTGGCTCCCGCTGTGTCTCCCGCTGAGCTGGGTGCTGTCAGCTGTGTGTCTGCTGGCATGACCTGGAGGTCAGCCTCTGGAGTGACCAGTGAGTCACACGGATTTTCAGTGCCAGAGCGTAAAATAACCCGGCCCTGAGGTCACCCCCGGGCAGGAGGCAGTGTGGGTCAGACATGCTGGTGGGCGGGGGCGGACCTCTGCTGTGTCCTCTGAGTGGCGCTGTCCTGCCTGGGTGTCCGTAGAAAGCCGGCCTACAGCCAGGGGGAGCACCCACCCCACGCTCTGCCGGCGGTGTCACTTCTCACGTGTGCTCAGGGTTGTGCGTGACGCTGTCTCCACCTGGGTTTCCTTGTGCTGAGTCTAGAACTCACGTTTCCCTGGACGCTCGGGCTCAGCGGTCAGAGCGTGGGCCCGCGGACCAGAGAGCCGCGGGTTCGATTCCGGCCGAGGTCGTGTGCCTCGGTGGCGGTCAGTCCCCTGCGGGCCGTGTCTCTCACATCCATGTTTCTCCCTCCACTCTGTCTGAAGATGAATGGAGTGGCCTTTGGTGAGGATTAAAAAAATTAAAAGCTCTCCCTGGCCGGTTTGGCTCAGCAGTTGGAGCATCGGCCTGCAGTAGAGAGACCCGGGTTCGGTTCCCGCTAAGGGCATGTACCTCGGTTGCAGTTTGTCCCTGGCCCTGGTTGGTCATGCGGGTGGCAGCCACTCGATGTGTCCCTTTCACGTCGATGTTTCTCTCTCTCCCTCCCTCCCACTCTTTCTGAACAAAAAATGGAAAAATGTCCTCGGGTGAGGATAAAAAAATTAAAATCTCAATTTTTAAAAATAGATATGAGGCTGTTTAGGTCCCCTAACTCGTGTGTCTGTAAGATGTTTGTCAAAGGGTTTCCTCTGAGCTGTCAGAACGGTCGACGTGACGCTGGGGGTCCTCGCATCCCCCTCACGTCACTCCAGCAAGGTGCCCAGCGGGACGCCCCTTTCCTGCCTGAAGTCGAAGGTGTGCTGTGGTGGACTAGCCCCTCAGAGGGCCCGACACCACTGAGCCCTGGACAGGGCCCCACCTGCGCATCAAAGGAGAGCCTGCTCCTCCAGCCCAGGCCAGGGCCCAGGGCCGAGCCCCCTCCGCGGAGAACCTGGCTGGTTTGCTGGAATAGCCCAGAGCTCTCCCGTCCCACCAGGCTCAGGGCTGAGCGTGTTCCCGCTGCCTGGACCCCAGCTCAGATGTCAGTTCAGCAGGGCAGGGGAGGCTGGTGTCCCGGAGACCACCAGCCCAAACACCGCTGGTGGGAGAACCCACAGAGTGTGAGCTCTGCGTTCCCCACGGGCTCCCACTCACTCACTGTGTCTCCAGTGGGCTGGGGAGTCGGTGGGAGGGAGAGCTGGTCGGAGGGATGGTGGACGGACGGATGGATGGATGATGGGTGTGATGGATGGATGGATGGGAGGGAGGGAGAAGGAGGTGGGTCTGACTAGGCTGTGGTTGGAGCCCCAGCCAGGCAGAGCAGGGCCCCAGCTCATCGTGGAGGCCGGGGGAGGGGCCCAGCGGGCAGAGCGGGGCCCCAGCTCATCGTGGAGGCCGGGGGAGGGGCCCAGCGGGCAGAGCGGGGCTCCAGCTCATCGCGGAGGCCGGGGAGGGGCCCAGCGGGCAGAGCGGGGCCCCAGCTCATCGCGGAGGCCGGGGAGGGGCCCAGCGGGCAGAGCGGGGCCCCAGCTCATCGCGGAGGCCGGGGAGGGGCCCAGCGGGCAGAGCGGGGCCCCAGCTCATCGCGGAGGCCGGGGAGGGGCCCAGCGGGCAGAGCGGGGCCCCAGCTCATCGCGGAGGCCGGGGAGGGGCCCAGCGGGCAGAGCGGGGCCCCAGCTCATCGTGGAGGCCGGGGCGGGGCCCAGCGGGCAGAGCGGGGTTCCAGCTCATCGTGGAGGCCGGGGCGGGGCCCAGCGGGCAGAGCGGGGTTCCAGCTCATCTCGGAGGCCGGGGAGGGGCCCAGCGGGCAGAGCGGGGCCCCAGCTCATCGTGGAGGCCGGGGGAGGGGCCCAGCGGGCAGAGCGGGGTTCCAGCTCATCGCGGAGGCCGGGGAGGGGCCCAGCGGGCAGAGCGGGGCCCCAGCTCATCGCGGAGGCCGGGGGAGGGGCCCAGCGGGCAGAGCGGGGCCCCAGCTCATCGCGGAGGCCGGGGAGGGGCCCAGCGGGCAGAGCGGGGCCCCAGCTCATCGCGGAGGCCGGGGCGGGGCCCAGCGGGCAGAGCGGGGCCCCAGCTCATCGCGGAGGCCGGGGAGGGGCCCAGCGGGCAGAGCGGGGCCCCAGCTCATCGCGGAGGCCGGGGAGGGGCCCAGCGGGCAGAGCGGGGCCCCAGCTCATCGTGGAGGCCGGGGCGGGGCCCAGCGGGCAGAGCGGGGCCCCAGCTCCTCGTGGAGGCCGGGGCGGGGCCCAGCGGGCAGAGCGGGGTTCCAGCTCCTCGTGGAGGCCGGGGCGGGGCCCAGCGGGCAGAGCGGGGCCCCAGCTCATCGTGGAGGCCGGGGCGGGGCCCAGCGGGCAGAGCGGGGCCCCAGCTCATCGTGGAGGCCGGGGCGGGGCCCAGGCTCCGGGAGGCGCGGCAGGGAGCACCACCTCGGGACCTCCCGGCATCCGGAGCCTGGGCCAGTGCAGCCACAGTCGTCCAGCCCCTGAGCCAGGACGGTGCTGCTGGACTCCCCAGACTGATGGGAGGGAACGTGAGGACCCCAACCCCGACCCACCGAAGTGGGGCTGAGCCTGGCCCTGAGCCCGGCCACGACACAATGACCACACTGCCCAGGGCCGCCAGGCGAAGCCGCAGCCGCCACAGACAGCACGAGAGCAGCTGTCCTTCGGGAAAGTCATCGCGTATTAAAAACAGTGTTAACGGTGCAGGACTAGTTACATCACTAACTGTAATGGGTCCCGAGTGATGCCGTCAGTAAATGCCTGTGGCGGCCCCGGCGGCCTGCTGGTCTGAGCCTGGAGCAGCCCTCCCGTGTCCAAGGCTCCGCAGTGGCACAGACCCCGAGCCCGGGGGAGGACGGCACTGGGGGTCCTCGGCCCAGGCTGCCCGGCCCGCCGGCGTGGCCACCACCTCAGGGAAGGGAGGGCAGTTTGCATGCAGGCCCTGCCTCAGGCCACCGTCAGAAGCGACCCTTCTCGTTTGAGGTCCAGAGGGACCTTGTTAACCAAAGGAAGGGGCAGCTCGGGGTACCAGGGACCAGCTATGCCCACGACCAGGAGGCTGTGACTACAGAACCAGACCTCTGGGTTGTGGCACAGGTGACCGACGGGCCTGACTTCGGGGCCACAGTCCAGCCGTGGGGGCGAGGGCCGCTCAGCGAGGGGCCCCCTTCCTCCGGGGCTGCAGCTCGGCCAGCCGCTCCTCGCGGGCCTGTGCGTGCCGGGCCCCCGCCCTGTGGGCTGCCGCCGTGGCCTCCGGGTCGATGTGTGCGTAGCAGGAGGTGCCGGCCCCTGAAAGCAGCGCCGTGAGCTGGGTGACCCCAGGAGCCGCCTCCTCCTGGGAGAGGCTCGGCCTGCATGGTGCCGGGTGGGGTCTGCCCACAACACCCACCCGAGGGAGGGGTCACAGCCCAGTGGGAGGGAGGACAGGGTGGCTGGGAGGAAGAGCCCCTGGCCAAGGGCTGAGGGGCCTGGGGTTAGGGGCCCCCAAGGTTCCCTGGGCTCCCATCGCCCGTGTGGGACCCACCTCGGACACGCGCGCCGGCCTCGGGGAGCTCCAGGCCGAGGTAGTGCAGCTGCTGGAGGGGGGCGCTGGTGGGGACACTCAGGTGGGTGGGCGTCCTGCTCTGCCTCTCGGGCCGCGGGGCTCCTGTGGGCGCAGGCGCTGTGAGTGCGGGGGCCAGAGTGAGCTGACTCCCAAGGCTGCTCCCCCCCATGTCCCAGTGCCCCCCCTCCAGGGCCTGGCTCCTTGAGGGTCCTGGCTGTCTGCACCCGAGACCTCGCCCCGCCCTCCCTGACCCTTCGCACCCAGCTTCCGGAAGGCCCCCAGTGCAGCCTCTGCCCGCCGTGGGGGGCTGGCCTCCAGGCCCGCAGAAGTCCAGGGAGCCCACCTTTCTGTCTTTGGTCCCCTGCGTGTCCCCCACCCTCTAGCCTTGCCCCCCTCCCAGCCCCCAGCTCCTCCCAGGCAAGACACCCCCACCCTGCCCACACTCCAGCCCTCCCCCTTGGCTGTCCGGGGTGACCTTGCCTACTCCAGGTTTCAGGGACCCCTTGCCTGAGCACGGCCCACACTTTCATCCACAGTGACCCCTCTTCCAGGATGGCCCCAGGCTCTTCAGGTCCCCTCCCCCATCCAAGAAACCGCCCAGTGAGGTTCAGGGCGGGGCCCCGGGAGCAGGCTGCAGACGCAGTCCCGGCCTCCAGGTGCCGGTCCTGCCCTGCCACCCGGCCGCCCGCACACACCAGAGAGGGTCCCGCGGCAGCGCTGCCCACTGCCCTCTCCGGCACAGGTGTCCCGCTGGGCTTCACTGCGGCCCTGGGACCGCACCTCCCTGTCCCACGGCTGCGCAGGAGCTGGTCTCAGAGCCGAGCCTACCTGAGTGCGTCGGGGGCCCAGGGGGCCAGGCAGCCGCTCCCTAGACCAGAGAGAGCTCGGGTCAGCCATCCCCCCGCTCCCACTGCCCCGCACCCGGCTGAGAGCCGGTCCGCGGCCCCCAGAGCGACAGGGCGGGGCCGGGCCACCCACAGGGAGACCAGCCTGGGCCCTCAGCATGTGCCCCAGGACTCTGCCCCCACAGGACCCATCTGGGGCGCGGAGTCAGGCCCCCAGGCCAAACCGGCCCGCCCTGCAGGGTGGCCGGGTCCGGGTGCCTCTTCCAGCTGGATAGAGCCAGAGGAGGGACTTTGGTGGCCTCAGAGCTGGGCACTGGCTGGGACTGAAGGAGGGACAGTGGCCCCTGGTTGGCACAGTCACTGGGCCTTGGTCTCCCAAACCCCGTAGGGGCCGGGCCCCCACAGCAGCAGGGCAGGTGACTGGAAAGGGTCCTGGGGAGGGCAGCCGGCAGTGGGGCCTCGCGACGGGTGGGGCTGGCACGGGGCTGTGCCCAGCCTGCCCTCCTGGAGGGGACGGTGCTGCCAGACTCAGGGCACAGCACGTCGCCCCGGTCCTGGGCAAGCTCCCCAACACCGGCTACTCTAGCCTGTCACCTGTGTGAAGAAGCCCCGTGTGCACTTGGGCCCGCGACCGCCAGCACCCAGGGCAAGAGGCCGACTGGCTCCGGACCTGAGTTCTCTGGGCTCCTCCACCCGGGAGCCCCATCTCGATGGCACCTGCTTTGGGGGCCGGTCCCGGAGGTGCCCTCAAACCCAACGCTGGCTGTGGGCCAGGCAGAGGCGGCCGGAGACAGGGCTCAGGACTCATGAGGAGCATCGGCCCCTCCGGGTGCCTCACACCCCCAGGAAGCTCCGGGGTACCTGAGAGGCCTCACTCTGCCCTCATCCCATGGGTGAGCCAGCAGTGAGGCCTGTGCGCACACTGAGAAGGGAATGAGGAGGGTGCCTGCCCCTGTGACATCTCAGGGTGCAAGGCTGTCCCCAACCCCACGCCACCCCAGGCCATCCTGGGATCCAGGGGGCGCCCAAGACATGCTTGTGAGGGGACCGGGCCTTCCTCTTCCTGAATCACGCCATACCATGGTCCCCAGAAGCTCCCAAAGGGCCGCGGTGGCCAGCGGTCACTCCCATGAAGGGTCCCTCCCTCCTCTCGGCGAGGACTTGAGGCCAGAGCCCAGCCCCTGCCCCCCGGTCCTCAGTGGATGCCTCCTCCAGCCAAGAACCGATGCAGAAGGCCCTGGCCCCCCGGCTCCAACCTCGCCCGAGGCCCCACCCGGGTGCCACAGTCCACACCTCCCACCTCACCCCCAGATGGCCCTCCCCCCAACCCCCAGCCATCTGCCTGGACGCCCACGGCGGGGAGGGGGGAGGCCAAGTCACTCAACCGCTGGACCAAAGTCTGCTCAGTTGGAGGGATGCCTGCACCCCTCTGCCACCTGTGGGTAAGGGGCCCCTGGGCAGGGCACCCGTGGAGCGTGGCAGGACAGCCCAGCCCCCAGGCCACCCCCCGCTCGGAGGTGGCAGCAGCTCACAGCCCTCTCTGTGAGGGACCCGATGCCGGCAGGTCCCTCTGGGCTGGCGGTGATGGTGCCATATGCAGAGACACCTGCTCTAACAGGCCTCTCCACGCACCCTGTCCACGCACCCTGTCCACGCACCCTCTCCGTACGCCCAGGGAGGTAGGGACTGTGGTCCCATCTATGGAGGAGGAAACAGGCTCAGACAGGTGGTCAGTGGCCAGTGGGCCCAGCTCAGCCCCCAAAGCGTGCCTTTGCCTCCCACAATGCCCCACTCTACAGGGCATAAACAAGGGTGAAAACTGGGGTGACGGGAAAGGGTGTGCCCCTAGGACGTGCAGAGAAGACCAATGGGATCCCTGGAGCCCCGCCGCCCACGTCGGGGAGACAGGAGTGAGGGGCCGCCAGGCTCCCCGCCAGCACGCTCACTGGTCCAGAAAGCGAGTATCCACCTCAGCTGGACGTGGCAGCCACCTGCCTGAGCCCCAGGACGACTCAGGACTTTGTGACCTCCAGTGACCACTCAGACCACATGTGCACATGCATCGCACAGACCACACACATACACACATGTGCGTACACACATGCACAAAACACACACATGCGTGCACATGGACACACCGCACACCACACGTGCACACACATTACAAAGCACACACCTGCACACATCACATACCACATGCTAATGAGCCACATGCATGCACACACAGCACATACATGCACACGTGCACACACGCCAGCCCCGTGGCTGTCTGCAGCCGCCACTCAGTGTCCACACCCCACACACGGAGGCTTCAGGCTGACTAGCCAGGCGGGATTTCAGACAGTCTGACCCCTGCAGGGAGGGCTGGTGCAGGGGGCGGGGGCGGGGAGCGCAGGCCAAACGGACGGGACAAGATGGTAAGAAAAGAACGTTTTATTTCCAGTCTAAGAATTTATTACAAACGCAGATTTTAAAAGTGTAAAAGAGCAACAAACACCATCAGCCAACAGTGAAGGTACAAGCGGAACAGTGACAGGTGAGCCGCTGCCCGACGGGGCTGATCCCAGCGCCCTGAGAAGCCAACCAGAGTCCAGGCTGCGGACACAGGCCACCCGCTCCCGGCGCCTCGAGACCGCAGAACCAGCGCACAGACCAGGCCACGCGGCTGCACTCCATGCAGCGAGCAGACGGGCGTGGGGGCGGGCAGGACCCGGGCCGGCCTGGAGCCGGCACCCCCTGCTTCTGACCACTGGCCTCCCAGCCCTTTGGCAGCTGGCCACGGGGAAGGCGGTGAGCCCCCGCTCCCTGCGCACCCCTCCCTGGGACCCTCCAGGTCCAGGACAAGGCTGGAGTGGGGTGAGCAGAAAGGGGGGTCTCAGAGTCACAAGACTCCCCACACACACACAAGTCCCGGACCTCCTGAGCCTCAGTTTCTCCCCAAAGGACAGGCCACCTGTGATTGTGGGTTCGAGGAGGGGAGGGACAAAAAGGTTAAGTTCGTCCTACACACGAGACACAGGGAGGCCAGTCCGGGGTCCAGTTCCCGGGACACGGCAGACGGACCCGCTGCGCAGGGATTTCATTTCTACAAGCAGCTGACTGCAACGGGGGAGGGGACCGGGACTGAGACGTCAGGCTCCCTGACCTGGAGGTAGGCAGTGGGTGGGGTGGGGAGGGCCTCTGGCCCCTGAGCACCCCAGGCTCTGGCAGGAGGCCTGATCCTGGCTGGGGCTCCGCTGATCGCCTGCCACCCAGAGCCCCCACTTCCCAGAAGGCACTTCCAGCTGCGGCCAGTCCTGAGGGTCCACTGTGGCTGCTGCACCCCCTCTGCAGGCTCCGCTCCCCAGGAGGGCTGGTCCTTGGGGGGGTGCCCCTCTCCCACCCTCCCCACTGAGCCACACAGTTGCTGGTGGTGTCACCAAGTGGCAAATGGACACCCCCCCACAGAGGCCGGCGCCCCTCCTCTCCTGTCCAGAGGGGCCATAGCAGCCCTCAGGGAGGGGGGTTTACCTTGAGGCCTCCACAGACGGGACACGCAGAAAAGAAGGCGGTAGGGGGCCCCGCGTGGGTGCCGCCTGCTTCCCAGGGCTCGCGGGGGGCCGGGCTGGGCAGTGCCATCTCGCTGCCCGGGGCCTCCGTCTCCTGTCCCCGGCGTCTCGCGCCCAGCCAGCCGGAGGGACACCCCGTGGGCATGTGGCCGCCCGGGTCCCCAGCGGCCTTGTCATCAGGGCCCCCCTGCGCCGCCGGGGTCTGGTCCCTGGGGGCCTGGCGCAGGCTGCGGGGCGTGTCGTAGTGGGGCCGCAGGGCGCTGGGCACTTGGTACTCCGCTGTCCCTGGCGGGCAGGCGCACAGGCTGGGCTCGGGCCCCCCGGCCGCCGGCGGCAGGCTGAGCAGCGAACCGAACTCGTCGCCGGCGCGCCACACGTCCAGGCTGCTCCCTGCGCAGGACGAGAAGCTGCCCGAGTAGGAGGAGTGGCTGCCCGTGGCGATGCCGCTGTCCGAGGAGCTCTGCCGGCCCACCTCCTGCAGCTGCCGCGGCCTCAGCGGCTTGGGGGGCGGCCTCGAGGCGCCCAGCGGGGCCTCCCCGGGGGCCTGGGCCGCCAGCCCCGGCCCCTCCTGCGACGTGCCGGCAGAGGATGACTGCTCTGGCCACGCCGTCAGCCGGCTGCTGGCGCTGACCTCTGAGTGGCTGGCTTCGGACGACGAGCTGGACAGGCTGCGGTCATCCCCTGAGACCGAGAGGGGGCGCTGAGGCTGCTGTGGGCTCCTGGGGACTTGGGGGGCTCAGAGAGTGCCGCCATCTAGGACATCTCCGAACCCCACCCCCCACCCCTGCCCCAAACCAGCACTCGGCCTGCACCCTGAGCCTTTCGGTCTGGGCCCAGCTGGGGAGCCCGGGGCCACAGCCGCGCCCGAGTGGTGGCTGCACCAGGTGTCCGGTCAGTGCCAGGCCAGCACCGGGTGTGGCATCGCGACCAGGAAACGAACAAGGAAACAGGATGGAGAGGACGGAGGGAAGGAATGGATGGAGGGAGAGGGCCCGAGGCTTGAACGCCCGCCGGAGCCCGCCCTCGGCCCTACCTCCGCTGCCCAGCCGGCCGCAGTGGGACAGGACGCTGAGCCGCTTCTCCAGCTGCAGGGCCTCCAGGGCCTCTTGGGCCGCTCGCTCCTCCGTGGTGGCAGGTCCCCCAGGGCTGGGGTCTGGAGCAGAGAGGAATCAAGAGGTGGCCCCAGCCCTGCCCCCGCAGGGCCCTCGGCCACAGCCCACGTGTTGCCCAGAACCTCCAGGAGAGCCCAGCGCTGTCCGGGCCACGTGCACCCTAGTGCAGCCCCAATGCCACAGCAGGGCCACAGGCGATCCTCCTGCAGACACTGTCCACACTCCTGCAGCCACCACACCGGGGCTGCAGTGCAGGACAGCGCCAGCAGAGGGCGCCACCGCACCACCCCGCGGAGCCCGGCTGTGAGGCTCCGGCCAGGATTCTGGAAGGGCAGCTGGGCCACACCCAGGGAAGGGGACACAGGAGGCCCCACCCGCCTCCAGCCCACAATCCCTGCGACCTCAGGCACACAACTGTCCCAACCGGAAGTGGGCCCGAGGGTCCCAATGGCTCAGAGCTGCAGAGGAAGGCGTGTGACCCAGGAGCCACGGTGCAGCCAAGGAGGCCGCCTTCCCAGCTGGGCACGGGGAGCAGGGCAGAGGCTGAGCGACCCTCCCGCCAGGCCACCCCCCACGCACCTGGGAGAACCGGCCGCAGCCCAAAGGGGCCCTTGGTCGGGGAGAGGCCTCGGACGATGCAGTCGAACAGGAAGCTGATTTGCTCGCCCTCGGCTGAAGACAGGAAGAAGACCCCGGCCCCTGCAGGGCACAGCCCGGTCAGCCCGGCCCAGCAGAGTGTGGCCCCCGCAGGGCAGGCTCAAGGGCGAGGGGTCTGGAGCTGAGGAAGCGGAGCAAGGCCAGGAGACCACCGGACAGGACTGTCCCCTCCCTGGAGCCCGGACGAGTCTCTTACAGCCCGGGACCCCGCCAGTCCTTCAGACACACCTGGGTGCTGCCGATCCACCACCAGCGGCCACCCTCCTCCTGCGGGGCAGGGACTCGTGGGGGAGGGGGTCCCTCCCTCCTGCCCCAGGCCCTCCCTGGGCACCTCCCACCTCTCACCCCAGGACGAGGAGCCGGGCTTCTGGAGGCTGGTGGCCGCCCAGGAGAGCCCAGCAGCCCTCACACCTCCAAGCTCATCTAGGGGTGGGAGCGGGGCGGCCCAGAGCAGGTCCACGTGCCGGAGGGTGGCCCTGAGACCTCAGCCAGGTCGGGGGCCCCACACCTGGTTTCCTCACCCGCGGCTCTCATGCGTGTTACATAGGGGTGCCGGGGAGCTGTGCTCCGGAACACCTGCTCCGCGAAGAGCCGGCACCCTGCTGGGCCGGTCAGCGGCCTGGCCCCTCACGGCGCCCCTCCCCGGCGTTTCCAGGTAAACGTGCAGGTCGGGGTCACTCCTGTGGGGCTCCCTCCTAGCAGAGGGAAGGCCTGGGGTGGACTACCAGCCCCAGGGGCTTGGGCAGAGGGGAGCCCAGTGGAAGTAGAAGCCTGGGCCAGAGGAGGAACCTGGGGTAGAGGGGGCACCTGGGGTAGAGGAGGAACCTGGGGTAGAGGGGGCACCTGGGGTAGAGGGGGCACCTGGGCCAGAGGAGGAACCTGGGGTAGGGGGGGCACCTGGGGTAGAGGGGGCACCTGGGCCAGAGGAGGAACCTGGGGTAGGGGGCACCAGGGGCGAAGGGAAGAACTTGGGTGGAGGTGGGGGTACCTGAAGCAGTGGGGGACACATATAGGGGAGCATCTGGGCAGAAGGGGGCACCTGGGGCAGAGGGAGCACCTGGGGCAGAGGGAGCACCTAGGATAGAGGGGGACACCCGGGGCAGGGGGGGCACCCGGGGCAGGGGGCGCACCCGGGGCAGGGGGCGCACCCGGGGCACGGGGGACACCCGGGGCACGGGGGCACCCGGGGTACGGGGGCACCCGGGCCAGGGGGACACCCGGGGCACGGGGACACCCGGGGCACGGGGGTACCCGGGGCAGGGGGGACACCCGGGGCAGAGGGGACACCCGGGGCAGGGGGGACACCCGGGGCAGGGGGACACCCGGGGCAGGGGGGCACCCGGGGCAGAGGGGACACCCGGGGCAGGGGGGCACCTGGGGCAGAGGGGACACCCGGGGCAGGGGGGACACCCGGGGCAGGGGGGCACCCAGGACCTGCTGCACCAGGGTGGTGTCAGAGCAGAGGGCAGGCAGGCTGGGTGAGTCAGCAGGACGTCCCACCCGCCCTCCCGCTGGGCCCGCAGCCCTGCCAGGGTGAATGAAATCCCTCACCGAGTGAATGGGGACGCCGGCCACGTGGTCTGGACGGTAAGACTGGCCTCACCGCCCAGGAATGCCCGGGGCTCCTGCCCTCTGCCCATGCCCAATGAAAGGCACGCTCTCAAGGGGAAGGTCCCGGGCCACACTGGGCGTTGGGCGGGACGGGTAAGCTCCGCACCAAAGCCTCTGCCGCCATGAGGCCTCCTCCACCCTCACAGGTCCAGGGACAAGGCCACGGCGCCCCGCAGTGGCACCCCGGCACCAGGGTGTACAGCACCCTCCAGTGTGGGAGCTTCAGCCATCAATGCCCCAAACCCGGTGACCTGCCTACTGTAGAGATGAGAAACAGGCCCAGAGGGGGCAGAGAGGAGAACTCAAGCTGGGACACGCTCGAGGCCCGCAGGCGCCCTCCTAGCCAGGGTGCTCTCGGAGCACCGTGCCCACCTTGGCCAGCCAGGCCGGCGGAGGCCCTCCAGTAGGCCGCCCCGCCCGCCGCCCGCACGCAGGGCCAGCTCTAATCCCGAGCTCCCGGGCAGCTGGCAGCGGCCAGGGCACAGTCAGTCCCCCGACTATAAAAAACAACATTACGAGGGGAGTCGAGCCGGCGGCATTCCACCGGGGCGTCTGCTCCTGAAGACGCGGCTGGTGCGCCTGGCACAGCTCAGCCCCCACGCTGGCTGCGGGGCCGCAGGGGCTCCGGGGGAGGACGCAGCTCCCCGAGGGCTGGACTGCCTGAGCCTCACAAAGCCCCCTGGACACGGCTCCCCGGCCCCTCCCCGGCCCTCTGAGGGCTTGTGCCCCGTGCTGCCCACAGGCTCCCGTGGGTGGGGTCACTCTCAACCCACAGAAGCTGCTGGGAGTGGGAGCAGTGTGGGGGCTGGGCGGGGGCTTGAGTGAGCCAGGGTGCAGGTCGGACTTACACCCGGGACGGGTCCTCCCGGCCCCACTGGGAGCAGAGGAGAGGCTGGGAGGGGGTGTGGGCGTGGCCGAGGTCTGAGGACCCGCAGGTAGCTAGTCCCCGAGGTCCCGGGCTGGACGGGGTCTATGGCCCAGCCCGAATTCCTCGAATCTGGGCGTGGGCTGAGGCTCCCGTGCAGGTCATGTCCCTGTGAGGCCACAGAGCAGGGGACACCACACCTGCCCCTCGGGCTGCCTCTGCCCCAAGGAGACAAGCAGATGCCACAGAGGACGGTAGGCTGCTGGGACCCGGGGCCAGTGGGCATCACCATGGCTCCTGCCCCCTTCACCCTGTGTGGCCAGGCCACGGGGCAGACCCCGGCTCCACCGCGCTCAGACCGGCAAGTCTGGGCAGCTGGCGGCTCGGTGTCCTCGTGTGCAGTGTGGGCCGGGCGAGGGCTGAGGAGCCAGCGCCCAGCGCCCCAGCGAGGTGGGACTTCTGCAGGGTGGGTGGCCTGTCCCGCCCCTGGCGGGTGTCCCTGTGCAGCCTCGGTCTCTGGGTCATCTCCCTGGACACTCGTGCCCAGAATCGCCCTGGATTCCAGCACTGCCGTGGCCACCGCTCCCAGCCCGAGTGGAGACACAGCTGACACCCACCGCGAACCTGTCAGAAACGTGGCAGGAGGTCTTCGACCCGGAGCGGTGAGCTCCTGGTGTGAGCCGGAAATGGTCCTAGGACCACAATTCATAAGTGCCCCTCCGTCTGCTGCCAAGTAGGAGGGGGAGGGCCGTGGCTCAGGCTGCCCAGGGCCGCAGCGCTGGATGGGCTGGCACTGGGGAGGGGCCCTCGGCCTGCACCCCCTGCACCCCCGCCGGGACCCTCGCCTTGCCTCTCCCCCCGCCCTCCCCGCACTGCCTCTCCCTCACCCCCCCTTCAGTTACCACCTTGTTTTGTTTTTTGTTTTTCAATCCTCACCCAAGGACACTTTTGGGAAGGAGGGAGGGAGAGAGAAACATCGACGTGAGAGAGACACGTGAACTGGTTGCCTCCTGCACGGCCTGGCTAGGGCCAGGGACTCGAACCCGCGACTCATTGGTCTCCGGGCCGACGCTCTAACCGCTGAGCCAAACCGACCAGGGCTCAATTACCACCTTGTTAACAGGCCTGGGATCCACAGGCCCGCCCCCCACAGCTGCTGGGAACTCAGCCCGCTCTCCTGGAACCTTCTGGAACCTCTCACAGCCCCTGCCTCAGTCCCATCTGCTCCCCGGGCCCGTCGTCATCCTAAACCCAGATCTGCTGGCCTGCTCCTGCTCAAGAGCCTTCACTGGCTCCCTCTGCTCTGGAAGCAGCCTGAGAGCCCATTACTGGGCTTTCATAACCTGCACTGTCCCCCCGCCTGGCCTCGCCACCCCCCAACAGGTCACCCTCCCAGCTTGACAGGTGCCTGGAGCACCCTTTATCCTCCTCGGCCCTCCATGACCCTCCGCGGGGGGCTGACTCCCGTTCACTGCAGAAGCCCGGCGCCCGAGACCCTCCCGACACCCGGCCGGAGTCGCGCCCTCCGAGGCCTGCATGTCTCATGACCCCACACCGGCCGGGCACAGAGACGCGCTGAGCACATCCCTCCCCGTCCCCCGGCTCCTGGGGCCAGAACCCGCCTGTGGACCAGAGCCCGGAAGTCTCAGCGGACAGATGTGTGGGCCCAGCGCACACGGCGAGCGAGGCTCACGGGCTGTGCCCGGCGCGTGAACTCTGACCTGAGCAGAGGACACGGGACAGACGGGACCAGCCCTGCCCCCACCCGGGATCCCTCAGACCAGGGACCCGTCGTGAGCGCGGTTGGCTCGTGCGGGTGTGCAGATGCCTGTGGCCCCCCGAAGGAGGACCCGCCCGTGTGAGGGTCGGTCCCGCCGTGGACTGGGGTGTCCAGCAGGTCTTCGGGGACAGCCCTGCCTGGGAGAGGCCAGTGGCCCTCAGGAAAGCACGGCAGGTCTCGGCCTCGGGGACCCGCTCCGAAGCCGGAGCTGTCTCCTCGCAAAGGCGCCGCCACACCAAGTCGGAACTGCAACCGGCCTCAGAGGAAACTTGCCCAGGGGGCCCGATGACTGTGTCTGGGCGAATAAAACGGGTCTCCAAGGACAGGGGGCCTCCTGCTCCACCCTCACCCCACCGCACCCCGGCAGGACACAGGCCAGCGCCACCCCCAGGAGTGCCAGGAGGGCCGGTACCAACGCCACGGTCCCGGGACGAGCAGAGGAGAGAGGCGAAGGGGCCGGCGCTGGGTGCTCAGAGCAGCCGATGGCAAGAGGGGGCACATGTGCCCGGGACACCGAGGCCTGCGGCCTCTGACCATCCAGGGTGGAGCCCCGTCCTGTCCCCTGTGCTGGACGCCCAGCGCTGAGACCTCTGACATGACAAAGATGAGGCGGCCCAAGCCATCCCCCACTCAAAGCCCCAGGGTGGGAGACCCACAGGCCTGGCCACGGTCACCCTGCTCGCTCCAGGGGCTACTGCCCAAACTGTCCACCCCACCCCCCTTTGCCCCTCCGAAGTCCCCACCCCCCAAGCCCAGGCCCCAGCGACATGGGAAGTCAGCTGGCTGTCAGTGTCTGTCTCCTCAGGGCAAGCCACCCCAGGCCGCCCCCCTCTGCAGGCCCACCGGGTCCGCTCCCTCCTCAGGGGAGCACGGGGCCCCTCGAGGACCAGGGGCCCCGCAGCCAGCAGTGGGCACAGCCCGGTCCTCACGCACTGCCACCAGGGAAACCGAGGCAGGCCCGAGGCCCTGGAGCCCACAGACCCCGCCCACCCTGAGCTGAGCCCCGACATCTCTGTCCTCTCGGAGGCTGTGATGGGATTCCAGCCGCTGGGTGGGCGGAGGGAGAAGTTACCGCAACTGAGCCCCATCTCCTCTGCACGACGGAGGGGGGATCCCCGACTGCCCTTGTCCCAGAGAACCGAGATGGGGGTGCACAGTGCGGGGTCCAGTGCATAGCTCCCACCCCGCCCCACCTCGGCCTCGGGCAGACAGGCGTGGGCTCCCCCGGACCGAGGACAGAAGGGGCTTCGGCCCCGCAGGGGCCGCGGGTCACACGTGGCCTGGGGCAGCCCCAACACCACAGCAGGGCCACGTCCCTGGGCCCGTTGCCCACACCCCGCCAGACCTGTGCCAGCCCAGACACGTGCGGCCTCGGGGGCCGTGAGGGACCCTGAAACAGCCCCGCTCCAGGTCGGCTCGTGCCAGCCGCTGGGCCTCACCCTCTCCCAGCTCACCTGCCAGACACCTGCCCTCACCTGGGACACAGGCAGCCCGCCCGCCCTGCCGTGGGTGTGGGGCTCAGGGCCAGGCTGGGGGTGCCCCAGGAGTCCTTGGTCCGCACACCGTCCAGGTACGCGGCTCTTCTTTCCGTTCACCCAGTCGGACCCGAGCAGCTCGGCTCTGTGGCCGCAGGCGCAGGGCCACGGACGGTACGCAAAGGCCTTGCTCCCGAGACCCCGGGGGCCTTCTGCGGGCGCGTGCCCGGGGCGCTCCCCACGGGGGAGCGAGGGGCTCACGCTGAGAAACACCGCCCACGCGCCTCGCCCCAGCCGCCAGCCCAGCGAGCAGGCGGGCGAAGGTCGGCTGGGGAAGCGGGAGCCCCGGTGCCCGGGTCCCACGGCCGCATACTCACAGTATCCACACCTGGTCCCGCCTTCGAAGATGAACCCGTTCGGCACGGCCCCGTAGCGCCGGAGGTCCGACAGCTTCCACTGGCCGGAGGCGGCGGGGGGCACGCCCCTGGCCACCACCAGGACGTCGTTGCAGAGGTGGAGGGTGGCGGGGCCGCTCTCCAGCTTGGTGCCCGGGGCCACCGTCACGTGGAACCTGTGCACTGAGGGCCGGGCAGGGGCAGGAGGGCATCACTGGGGGGAGGGGCCGGGGGGGCAGCACCCAGCCTGGCGGCCACACTGACCTCACCCATCCTTCAAGGCGGGCGAGTCCTCAGAGGGGCTACCCTGACCATTGCTGTCCCCCCACAGCGGACTTGGCCCAGCGAGCCTGGTGACAGTCCCTCCTGGGGGGCTGCTGGTGACACCTGCGTGGGGACCCGGCTCACAGAGCAGCTCTCACAGGAAACAGCCCACATGGCAGCCGGCGTGGCTCCGTTTCACAGACGGGGAAAACGAGGCCTGGGACGTTGGGAATGTCTGGGGTCCGCCTCACAGCCAGCCTGGCTACAGGGACACCGGGAGACTGCAGACCCCCCTCTCCAGCGAGGAACCCCCCGGTGCTGAGCACGACCAGCTTGCTCCCTGGGATCTCAGCCCCATCTCGGCTTGGCCCTTGGCCCCTGAAGCCCGATGCGGCGGTTCTCAACGTGTGGGGGTCGAACAACCCTGTCACAGGGGTGCCTAAGAGCATCGGAAAACATGTTTCCGATGGCGATTCATAACAGTAGCAAAATTACAGATATGAAGTAGCAAGAAAAATAATCTTATGGTTGGGGGTCACCACCACACGAGGAGCTGTATCAGAGGGTCGCGGCAGCAGGAAGGTTGAGGACCACTGCCCTAGGGGGAGGCGGATGTGAGCTGTGTCCCCAGATTGTCCCACTTTGGAAAGGGGTGCATACTTGGGGACCCGGTCCCCCGAGAGGAGGGCAGCCAGCCTGCCTCGGCCACCCTCACGTCCGACACACCCCCTCCCACAAGCCACACCGAGTCCCAGGGTCCCGGTCTCCTCTCTATCAAGGTGCCCGCCCCACCCCTAAGAGAAAGGGGAGCTGTGCTCCTGAGCCCGGAGCTGGCGGGACCCCATCTGCACACCCCCTCTGCCCTGTGCCAGTGGCTGAGCCCACAGGTGCCTGCAGGGGCCGGTCTGGGGCCCCTGGACGAGCCTCACCGGCTGGTGGCGAGGGGCTCTGGGGAAGGCGGCTGGCGCAGGCAGCCTGTGCTGGCGGTAATGCCTCCTCCTCACTGACCGGTCAGCTGGGCCCCGCCCACTCCCGGGCCCTAGGCGCAGACCCAGGAGGACGCCCAGCAGACCCCCGCTCCCCTCCCTGCGGCCGGTCGGGGTGGAGGCTGCCCCTGGACCCTGGTCCCCGCACCACTCACCCTCGCCGAGTGCGTAGCGGATCCGGGCGTCCCAGGCGCACATGGCCTCCCGGCTGTCGAAGCCCAGCATGACGGCCTGCGACAGGCAGACGATGGCCAGCGTGTGGGCCAGGCCCTCGTAGGGCAGGCCGGGCTCCAGGCCGCAGATGTGCTCCAGCGTCAGGCTGCTGCGCTCCGGGAGGCCCCTGGCTCGCTCCGACCGGTCCTTGTAGGCCAGCATCAGCAGGCAGTCTGCAGGGCGCACGGGACACGCAAGGCCCTCAGGCGCAGCCAGAGCAGCCGCCCCGAGTCCCAGCACCCACCCCAGAGAGCCCAGGGCTCGAGGGGTGACCCTGAGCAAGCCACGCAGCCACTCGGAGAAGGTCACCCCACCCTGCACGGCTCACACGGGCAGAGGACCAGACACCAAGGCCGGGTCCTGGCCCTCGGCCAGAGCATCACCAGCCTGCAGCCCCTGGGGTCACCGTCAGGGCAGCTTGGGGGACGAGCACGGAGCCTGCCGGGGCCTGGGCCTCCCTCAGCTCTGCATGTGCCCCTTCCTGCCACCCCCCCTCCCCTCCTGGACTCGGGTCTCCAGCCCTGGGGGAGGGCCAAGGCCAGGGGGCGGAGGGCCCACTGCAGGCCCCGCACAAGCGCCTGACACTGGCGCACCAGGCTCTTCCCCAGCCCAGGGGCGTGCCTGCATCGGGGCGTCCAGTCTGTCCCCAAGTCCAGCATCATGATCGCGTCCCTGTCGCCCCAACGGCAAAGCAAGCAGCTGATCGGTGGGGTGGGAGCAGGGGAGGCCCCAAATGCGGCTGCACCCCACAGGAGTGGCTCCCGGTGCCTCCAAGTGCACCCCCCACCCCACCCCAGGCCCAGGCTTCGGCAAGGGTGCAGCAGCAGGGGCCTGCGGTGACGCAGAAACACACGGAAGGGTGACGCCGGCTCCGGAGGGAGCTCCCGACCTCGGCCCCCTGGTGTGCAGGTCCCGGGCAGCAGAGCAGCGACGCCCCCTCTTGGAGCCCTGACCCTGGGCTGCGGCTCTGCACCGGCCGCCCCCCCCCCCGCCCAGACCCAGCTCAGAGCCAGGCGGCCTGAGCGACACTGGGTGCGGACAGTGCGGGGGCTTCACACCTGTCCATTGTGCTCGAAATGCTTATATCAGGAAAAAACAACACAAAGATGTTCCCATTTTGACAAAAAAAGGAAATCAGAATCCACGGAAACCCACCGGTCCATTTGAGGGCTCCAGCACATTCTCCCCAAGGGTGGCCCCGAAGAGGCAGCCTGGCCTGGCCCAGGGAGAAGCCAGTCACACGGGCAGCCTCAAGGCCATGTGTCACGTGAAAATGTCCCCCAAACGTGTCACCAAGGCCCAAGAAGTGAGGACTTGCGGCAAGCGGTGATCATAGAAAGACCAGCAGTAACAGACCCGAGGTGAAGACTCCTGGGATGAGAGAGGGAAGCCCCGGGGAGGGGGGCAGCTCCAGAGGGAGCAGCCACCCACACCCACGCACACCACCACCTCCTGCGCCCCTCCCACAGCAGGCTCCGGCGTCCCTCGGGGCCGCTGGTCTGTCTGCTGTCTCCCCCTCCCACCCAGAGGTGAGCCCTCGAAGGCAGGCTCCCTTCGCTCTGCACGGGGACAGCCCATAGCCTGGCACAATGAGGGTGGGGATGGTCCATCAAATGGAAGACACTGCTTTAGGCAGGACCTGACCAGCACGGCAGAGCGAGACTACCACCTCCTTTGTTCTAGGACTCATGCTCCCGGTAATACAGCCCAGAGCTAGGTCGACAGCCTTTCTGCAGAGTCACTCCCGCAATGCAAGCAGCCGACAGCCGTAGTGAGGGGCTGTGTTCCTGAAAAATGGCCACAGGAACAAGTGTGGGCGGAGGTGGCTCAGGCCACGGGCTGTGGACCCCAAGTGCAGACGTGAGCCCGACAATAACCACTGCGCCCGCCCAGAGCTCCTCGCGCCTCCCGCCACCTGCACTGGCGACCTGGCTGGGGGCTGGGGGCCTGTGTCCCTGAAACTCCGAGGTGGGTCCAGCTCACACCCAGTCCTTCAGGAGAAGCCACGCCCACCTGCGCCTGTCTGTAGCGGACTAAATAGGGACCCCCTACTTAGGGGCCATGTCCAAGGCACTAGGCTCGCTTTTAAATACGAACAAAACCGAGAGAGAGGCTGGCAGAGGCCAACTGAGGCCTCTGATGTCCACCCCACACAGCGTCCTCAGGTCCCCAAAGGGCGGCTCCCTCAAAGCAGGTGAGGGGAGGGGCTGGCTGGTCAGTCAGTGGGGGGCCCAGCGGGCCCTGTGTCCCACAGCTGCTCCGACCCCTGTCCTCTCCCCATCGCCTCGGGTGATAAATGGAGCCCATTTTGTGTGTGTGTGTGAGGTACGTGCCCTTAGCAGAAACCGAACCCAGGACTCTCTGGTCCGCAGGCCGACGCTCAACCGCTGAGCCAAACTGGCCAGGGCATATGGACCCTATTTTTAAAACCCATTCTGGGGGGGCTGTTTAGTGCAAAGCCACTCCAGTAACGGGCGGCAGATGACGGAAATCTCGTTGGGAGCCTGAGACCGAGCAGGGTCGGGGACACGTGGGCAGGGCCACTGGAGCTGCCCCAGCCGGCCAGCCCCTCTGGGACCCAGGCCAGGAGCACCCCGGAGCGGCACCCCTCGAAGGAAGCCCAGCTGCACTGGTCAGGGCTGAGGCCGCCCACCGGTCTTCCACCAGCACACCAGCCACCCCACTCAGATGGCCAGTGGGGCTCCTCTCCCAGCAGGGTGAGCCCGGGCCCGAGAGGGACCAGCTGGCCCTGCTCACAGCCGCAGCCCGTCCACGGACGCTCGGGCGGAGGGCACAGGCAGCCACCGCCGGCCAGCGCAGGGCTGTGGCGTCTGCGGGCCTGGAGGAGGTCTGGGCGCAGCGCGTGGCGAGGTGAGGGCACTGGGGTCGCCACGGAGAACGGAGACACGGATGACAGTGACGAGAGGCACTGAGGAACGCACCAGTCAGTGGGGACGACGGAGCACACACGCTCACAGGAGGTCCCAACCCCACGACCCTCAGCTCTGGGAGCCTCTGCTGCCCGTCTGGGAAACGGGCACCTCTCACCCGCCAAGCCGAGGTGCCACACCAGGGAACCTCGGCCCAGGACCGGGGACAGTCTCAGGTCACTAAACACAGGGAATGATGTGGTTTGACCACAAGTGCCCCCAAGCTCTGCCCACCATAGCCCCACAGGGAGAAGGGAGGAGGGAGGGCGGGCTCCCGGGTTAGGAAAGGCAAACATTGGCATAGGGTCCTGCCCCCCATAGGGTCCTACTCCCCATAGACTCCTGCCCCCCATAGGGTCCTACTCCCCATAGGGTCCTACTCCCCATAGACTCCTGCCCCCCATAGGGTCCTACTCCCCATAGACTCCTGCCCCCCATAGGGTCCTACTCCCCATAGGGTCCTACTCCCCATAGGCTCCTGCTCCCCATAGGATCCTGCTCCCCATAGGCTCCTGCCCCCCAGAGGGCCCTGCCCCCCATAGGCTCCTGCCCCCCAGAGGGTCCTACTCCCCAGAGGGTCCTGCCCCCCAGAGGGCCCTGCCCCCACGGGAGGACCATGAAGGAGCCTCGTGGGGTCACTCCCACCTCTGCTCTGCCCCCCAGCCTCCCCAGCCTCCACTCAGCCTGCATTCTGCTCAGGGCAGCCTGGGGACCCGGGGACACAGCGGGCGTCAGACACTGAGGCGGTACAACCGAGGAGAGCCCATGAGGAAGTGTGATTTGGGGTTGGGGACAGAGGACAGTGGGGGTGGGGGGTGTGCAACTGAGCTCAGGGTCAGAACAGACGTCGACTTCCGAATGATATGAGGAGCCAGCCCAGCAGCCCAGGGAACATCGTGCCCGGGGGACAGCAGCGTGACGGCCTGGAGGACCCGAGGGCTGGGCTGGCACAGGGGGAGGGGGGAGCGGCCCCACATCAGGAGTTTCGGCTGTGGGTCCAGAGAGCCAGGCTGAGAGCCTGACCTCGGCGCCGGGGGCTCGGGGGCTCTGGGCGGGGCGGCCCCACTGTGCGGAGAAGAGGCTGCGGCCTCCGCGGCTTCCGCAGTGAGCTGCGGCCTGGGCTGGCCTGCAGGCACCGTGTGACGGCTCTCAGGGATGAGGGAAGGGATGCTGGGGGAGTGGCCAGAGTTGGGGTGCTGTCCTGGACACATGAGCCCGAGGGGCCTGTAGGACACCAGGCAGTGTGCGCGCAGGCAGCTGGATGTAAAAATAACCGGGGAGTCATGAGCCCTCCAAGGCGTTCACAGCCGGCGCGGAGGGGTGTCAGGAAGAGGAGAACCTCCAGGCTCCGTGGGTGGGGGGACCCCGCAGCGAAGACCAGGCCGAGAGCCGGCTGGAGATGGAGGTCACCCCCATCAGACACAGCCCGAGCCCCGACAGGGGCCAGAGGAGCAGCAGCTGGATTTAGCCCTGAGAGGTCACAGTGACCTTGAGGCAGTGTCTTCAGGAGAGTGGCTGGCTGGAGCCCGCAGGGACCCTGCTGATGGTCTGGCGGCCGGAGGGTGGGGCAGCCAGGAGGCCCGCCTGACGCAGGGCCCGGGGCTCACAGGCATCGGGGGAGCACATGGGTGCCCGGCCTTCCACCCACCTCCCGCCCACCCCGGACAGGGGCCACCACGGGAACGCAGCGAGCACTGGGCTCAGTCACTCGGCTCGTGTGAAGGGGGCCGAGATCTGAGCCGAGGACTCCGATTCCCGGGCTCCTCGGTAAGGCTCCAGGGGGCAGGGGCTGCCGCCCACACTGTCCAGAGGCTGCCTGCCCAGCAGGAGCTCAGACATCATGCCCATCCCTACGCAGATCAACCAAGGCTCGGAGATGCGGCCCAGGAGGGGTCCCTCGCCATCACCACCACCCAGGATCCCTGCCCCTTAAGGACACCCACCTGGGGAGGGGTCACGTGCCCGGGCTCCCGTTCCTGCACCCTTTGTGCAGCCTGAGGTGTGGCCAAGGGCAGCTGGGGTTACCTTATCCAGTAATCCCAACCTCACCAAGATGCCCGCAAGGGGTGATACTGCTCTGGGGGAACCCCTCCCTGAGCACCATCCTGGGGCGGACGAGACAGATCCCACGTTAGCCAGGGAGCAGGGGCAGATCCGCCAGCCTCCGCCGGGCAGCCCTCTGCCTGTAATAACCCCAAAGCCCCACCAGCTCCAGGACTCGGGGTCCCCCTGGAGGCTTTTCTGGGCTGAGCAAAGCCCCCAGGGAACGGGCACAGGAGAGTAATGTGAGACCCCAGGTGTGGTGGGCCCAAGAACCACCCAATGCTCTGCTCTGAAGCGCCCCTGGACACCTCGTGCCCAGGCCACACCCTCCCCGAGGGCACCCCCCATCCTGAGCCTCAGCCCGAGGAACAGAGGCTGCCCGGGTCCCCAGACCTGGGCCCGGACCAGAGAGCCACCCAGACACGAATCCTTTGGTCAGGACAGAGGTTGAGACCGCGAGGAACACAAACCCGCAGACGTGTCACTACGTTCCGTAAAGATTGACTTCACTTCTCTTGTTAAAGGTGTTTTCCTTCCTCTCCGGACTAAACTCCACTCTAGGAAGTGCTCCTGGGAGGAGAGAGGGCGCACTGTGCCAAGGTGCCCTTCCCGCCGCCGCCGCACCCCTGCTGCCTCTTAACTGTCCCTGCAGGCCCTCCGGACAAACAACTTTAAAAATAAGAGTCCTGCCCTGGCCAGTTTGGCTCAGCGGTTAGAGCATCCATCGACCCGCGGACCAGAGACCCGAGTTCGGTTCCCGCCAGGGGCACGTACCCCGGTTGCAGTTTGTCCCCGGCCCCGGTTGGGGCGGTGTGGGTGGTGACCACTCGATGTGTCTCTCTCACATCGATGCTTCTCTTTCTCGCTCTCTTCCTCCCTCTCTCCTTCCAGCTCTATCTGAAGATAAATGCAAAACTGTCCTCGGGTGAGGATAAAAAATAAATAAAAATAAAAGTAAGAGTCCTGGACTTCCTATGAGGAGAAGGCAGGGCTGACCCCCCTCTCCCGGCCTCACCCCGAATCTGGAAGGTCCTCTCTGTGAGTCCTCAAGGACGAGGGTGTGCCCCCCACACCTCCATTCATCTGGGGGAGCTAGTCTTCAGGGTGGGGGCAGGGAGGAGGCATGAGGACAGGAGCACGGCTCCCTACCGGGCACAAGTTGGGGGCAGGGCATGAGGCAGGGAGCTCTGCCTTGAACCCCTGCCCGTGGTCTGTAAGATGCCCCCAGTCCTCATGCTCTGACAGTGGATGGGCTCAGTGGACGTCAACTCAGAGGGGACAGAGCACACCCCCATTTCTCGAATCCCTCTGCAAGGCCCTGCCTGAGTGTCCCGCCCTCTCCTCTTCGCCAGCTCCCCCAAACCCAGCCCCCCACCCTTGGCAAGCCCTTCCTTCTGGCTCTGGAGCGGTCCCCCACTGTAACCACTCTCTCCGCTGCTCTTGGGCAACCTGGACACTGGATGACTCTGCAGTGTTGGGGGCCCCAGCACACTCCCCGGTGCACCCCCAGGCCAGAGTGCCCCTCTCAGACAGCTCTCTGATACTGAGATGAGATCCCCCACTGGGCTGCAAATCACCCCCCACCCACACACGGGCACAAAGGCCACCCCCTGAGCTCCTCTTCCAGGGGACACTGCCCCTGAGTTCTGCACAGGCCCCAGCTCACCAGGGACCCACCAAGCAACACCCTGCCCGAGCAAGCCCCTCCGTCACCGCAGGCCTGTGCCCCCTGCCCCAGCCCTCAGCCTGCCCGGTGCCTCCCCATCCCTTGCCTCTGTTTCCCGCACCCACCCACCCCCACCTGGCATCCGTGGAGTTCCCCAGGGCAAGGCACCAGGCCCAGGGTTCGGGGCAGGAAGATGGTGGATGAACCAGGCCCCCAGCGGGAAGCTGAGGCCAGACAGGAAGTGAGTGTGTCGCCGGAGAGCAGGCCCTTGCGTTGCAACTGAGAGGTGCGGGGGGCGAGGTGCCTGGAGCAGGCTCAGCAGAAGGGACTGAGGAGGGGTCGCAGGAGGAGAACAGGGAGGGCACCCCGCACCCCGCTCCGGGACATGACAGCCACCAGGCTCCCGGAAGACTCTCTGGCAGACCCACACGTGTGGGGCAGCACACCCACACCCCAGCATCCCGCACAGACCCCTGGTGCCTGGGCCGGCTCCAGGGCACCTGTCTCCCCAGCAGCTGCAGCCGGCCTCCCAGCGCCAGCCTCCCAACTGCGCCGGAGCCACTCGCTGAGGAGGAAGGTGCCCAACCTCGGCTCCCTGCCGCCCTCCCACGGGTGCCGCAGGTCGGGGAGCAGGGGTGCCGCTGGTGGGGGGCCGCGGTGCCAGCAGGGAGGTGCCATTCTCTCCTCCAGGAGGCCTGTGCCCCCAGCAGGAGGGCCGCTGTCTTCAGGACAGAAGCAACCCTGCCCCTACCCACAGCCTCTGCTCTACCTGGGCAGGTGGCCGGCCCTGCCCGCAACGCCGCACCCATCTGGATTCGGTGGCACAGCTCAGCACCCCAGGGCCCGGGGAGCATTTTCCGGGTCCCTGCGCGGGAGGGGGAGGGGCAGCCAGGCTCCCTTCGGCCTCTCCAGCCCAGCCTGCCCTCTGGACAGGTTCTGGCCCGGACCGGGTCCGCGAGGCCGGCGCCCAGCCCCGCGCCCGGCCTGCGGGAGGGTCCCGGCGCCCGGCAGGCGCAGGCCGAGGCCCGAGCGCTCCGGTTACAGCCCCGGCGCCGCCGGCTATTTCGGGCGAGCTGGCCGCGCTCCGCCCGCCCGGCACAGGCGGCCGCCGAGCCCGCGCCCCGCACCCCGCGCCCGGCCCGGCCCGGCCCGCTCACCTGCCACGGGCGACGGCTTGCGCAGCACCAGCCACCTGGTCTTCCACTGCGGGGACAGGGGGGTGAGCGGCCGCCCGCGCCCCCCCCCCCGCGCCCGCCGCGCCCGCACCTTCTTGCCGTCCCGCAGCTTGACCTGGCCCTCCACCAGCGCCGCCTCGGTCATCTTCAGTCATGGTTCCCGCGCCCGCCGCGCAGCCCAGGGTCACTTTCAGAATAGCTCGGGGAGGGCCTGGGCTGGCGGGAGGGCGGGCCGCGGGCGGGGCGTCCCGCGAGGTGTGCGCGCCGCCCCCGCCCCCCGCCGCTCGGCTCCGACCCGGCCCGCGGCCGCCCGGTGCCGCTCCTCGGCCCCCGCACAGCGAACCGCCCGACCAAAAGGGGACACTCCTCTGCTCCTGTCCCCCACTTTTCAAGTTATCCTCAGCCAACCGGCTGCACCCTCTGGCACCTGCCCCTCCCCCGCTCCAGGTCTGTCACTGGTCACTCCTGACAACAGACTGACTTGTGGACGGCTGGGCCTTCGGCCCTTCAGCGCCCCCCCATGCCGCCCCGCTCCCCAGGCAGGGTGAGGCAGGGTGATGCCGGGGTCCACGGTCTGGCCCCCCGCTCCCCAGGCAGGGTGATGCAGGGTGATGCCGGGGTCCACGGTCTGGCCCCCCGCTCCCCAGGCAGGGTGATGCAGGGTGATGCCGGGGTCCATGGTCTGGCCCCCCCGCTCCCCAGGCAGGGTGATGCAGGGTGATGCCGGGGTCCACGTTCTGGCGCCCCCGCTCCCCAGGCAGGGTGATGCAGGGTGATGCCGGGGTCCACGGTCTGGCCCCCCGCTCCCCAGGCAGGGTGATGCAGGGTGATGCCGGGGTCCACGGTCTGGCCCCCCCGCTCCCCAGGCAGGGTGATGCTGGGTGATGCAGGGTAATGCCGGGGTCCACGGTCTGGCCCCCCGCTCCCCAGGCAGGGTGATGCAGGGTGATGCCGGGGTCCACGGTCTGGCCCCCCCGCTCCCCAGGCAGGGTGATGCAGGGTGATGCCGGGGTCCACGGTCTGGCCCCCCCGCTCCCCAGGCAGGGTGATGCAGGGTGATGCCGGGGTCCACGTTCTGGCGCCCCCGCTCCCCAGGCAGGGTGATGCAGGGTGATGCCGGGGTCCACGGTCTGGCCCCCCACTCCCCAGGCAGGGTGATGCAGGGTGATGCAGGGTGATGCCGGGGTCCACGGTCTGGCCCCCCCCCTCGCTCCCCAGGCAGGGTGATGCCGGGGTCCACGGTCTGGCCCCCCGCCCCCCAGGCAGGGTGATGCAGGGTGATGCCGGGGTCCATGGTCTGGCCTGCGGCTCGGACCCAGAGCTCCACCTCTGCTCCCCTCCAGCCCAGCGGAGCACACCCCTCCAGGCCGGAGCTGCGCTGTCCCTAAGGGCGCCAGGAGGCCCCTTGGCAGTGGGGGAGGGAGGGGCTCTGAGCCAGGGATTTCCCCTCCTCCACCCTGCAGCTCTAGTCCGGATGTTCAGGGGTCTCTAGGAACCCCGGAGGTTTGGGGACCTTGCAGGGCCACACCCTGGACGTCAGTCAGCTCCCATCTCTGATTCCAAAAGCATCCAAAATAAGTGGACAGTGCAGAGGTGGGGGGCAGCACCCCAGAACAGCCATGAAAAGCAGTGCGCCCTCCTCAAGGGGCTACATTCGGGCAGGGATAAGGGGGAAGAGATCAAGTGTCCTCCGAACCCGAAGCCGCAGGCAGGAGGGCTGCCGTTCCGGGGCCGTGTGTCTACCTTGTCCAGATGCTTAGGGCCGGTTCCCGCCACTCAGAGAGGGGACATGATGCTCAGCGCTAGGGTGCCAGGTCTCCCTCCCAGGCTGACCCACCGCGGCCAACCCCGGACAGGTTCGGAGCTGTGGGTTGGAGTCCCAGGAGCTGGATGCGGAGCTGTTTCTGGGGAGCTGAGAGGGAAGGTCCCTGGTGGACCACAAGCTGGATTCTGATGCTCTGGTTGTCTTGCCAGGGCCTAATGTAGAGCAGGGTCACCCCAGGCCTGGGAAGCGGCTCTGTGTCCCCTGAACACCCTCCCCCGACCCGTGTCACCTGTGTGGCTGCCAGCCGTCTTTCCCAGAGCAGTTGCCCAGCTACAGAGCCCCATTCATGCACCCCACACGTCCCAGGCCCCAGGGGCTGGCCTGGACAGCTGGCACGGGGCTGGGTGGCGGCAGGGGGCTGTGGCCACCGCCACATCCGCCACCCCAGGCGCCTGGCACTTGGTCATCCCTGAGGGGAGGGACAGTGCTGCATGCCTGAGGGCTGGCCCTGGCCCAGGCTGCTGCCACGCCTGGCAGCTGCACCTGCTCCTGCCCCAGGAGATTCGGCCTGCAGCCGGCAGACAGCTCCCCTCCCCCTCCCCGCCACCAGGGCCGCGGAAGGCAGGGAGCGCTTCCAGCCCGGCTCCAGATGCTGGGTTGGCTCTGGGCCTCTGCTCCTCGGTTCCTGCTGTGAGTTGTGTCCCCCCAATTCACGTGTTGAAGCCCAACCCTTCGTGTGATGGTGTTGGGGGTCAGGGCATTTGGGAGGTGATCAGGTCATGAGGGTGGAGCCCCTATGAAGGGGTGACTGTAGAGACAGAGGAGGACACAGCAAGAAGGCGGCCACCTGCTCACCTGGAAAGCTCTCCCCAGAACCCCATCTCTGATGTCCGGCCTCTGGAACTGTGGGAAACATGCCCACCGCGTGGCCACCCAGGCCTTGGTGCTCGCTGGGTCCAGCAGCCGGAGCTGAGTTTCCCGGCTGTACAGCCGGAAGTGAAGGCTGCGAGTAGCAGGAACTCACTCTGCCCGCCGGTGCAGGAGGATGTTGCTGGAAGAATATCAGCCTCTGGCAGAGCCCAGGGGAGGCCGGAGCACCAGCGGGAGCCCTGGGGGATGGGCAGCAGCCACGCTCCTGAGACTGGACGCCACCCAGCCGTGCAGCACCGCACGCTGGACTCCACAGCCCTGGGGCTGGCTGCCGTCCTCCAAGAAGCAGTGGGTCATGGCTGCACTGACCAAGGGGCTGCACAGCCCAGCCAAGGACACTGCCACCGCCAGACTCCATGGCCACAGGGCACTGTTGCCCATCAGTGACCTTGCAGCTACAGGACCTGGTGCCAGACACAGCACCTGCCACTCACCTCCCACATGAACTTAAAGCTCAGCTCCCTCTCCAGCCTGACGTCACCAGGATGGGCCCCAAAGGAGGGTCTTTCACAGTGCGCGTGGGTTGTACGCAGAGATGACTGGGCCCAGGGATGGGCTGCCTGGCCTCGCATTTCCAGGTCCTCTGTGTGCTGGAGAAAAGCACTTGCCACCTGACCGTGGCGAGGACTGTGCCCCGTGTCCACCCAAGCCCTGCACTCATTGCATCCTGGCGCCCTCGGTTAGGTTCTGCCAGTGGCACGTGGGTGGAAGTGATGACCCCGCCACACGCGTCTGGCACCTATGGACCGAATCCTATGTTGAAACATTAACCCCCACGTGGGGTCTTTAAATGAGGTCAGCCCGGCTGGTGTGGCTCCGGGGTTGAGCATCAACCCACGCACCAAGAGGTCGCCAGTTCGATTCCTGGTCAGGCCACATGCCCAGGTTGTGGGACCAATTCCTAGTGGGGGGCATGCGGGAGGCAGCCAATCGATGTTCTCTCTCATCGATGTCTCTCTCTCTCTCCCTCTCCCTTCCTCTCTCTAAAGTCAATAAAGAAGAAAAAGTGTAAAGCTAAACGAGGTCATAGGGCAGAGCCCTGATCCCATCCTCACTGGTATTAGTACAGGGAGACAAGGCAGAGAGAGACCGTGGAGGACACAGCAGGCAGGCACCTCTGCAAGCCAGGAGGAGCCTGTCACCTGAGCCAGCCGGAGGGGCCTCGAGCTCGGGCTTCAGCTCCAGCACGGTGAGGAAGAAGTTCTGCTGTTTCAGCCCCAGGCTGTGGCAGCTGAGCTGACTGGTAGACTGTGGTCGAGTCCTTGGGAAAACAGCTGCAAATATCTCCCTCCCCTCAGCACACCCCTTGGAATGAGAGAACACCTCCTCCCACTAAAAAGTGGAGTCTCTCTCGCTACCTGGAATCTGGCTTTGCCATGGAAATGCTCACATCCACTCTTTCTTTTAGAGTTCAGCCTCTACCACGTGCATAAGCCCAGGCCAGCTTGCTGGATGATGAAAGAGATGTGGCCTGCCCCCCCCCCCCCACCCAGGGCCCCAGCCAACAGCCCGTCAGCCCCCAGGAGCAGAAGGGCCCAAGACCCACTGACAACCCTGCTGTGTGAAGGAGCCAGCCCAGAACTGTGAGCTGAATACACAGCTGTTGTCCTACGTCACGGAGTTTTGGGGTCATTTGTGATACAAAGGGCTCTGATGTGGAATGTCTGGTGTAGGATGACCAGCCTCAGGGGACATGCAAGAAGTCCAACACACAGCCAGCGGGCTCGGAGGAAGGGGAGAAATCCATGGTGACACACAGCACAGCAGAGGCAAAGACATCATAGAAGTCGCCAGAGGAAAAAAGTTATTTACAAAAGAACAATTAGATTTGCAGCCGATTTCTCAGCCTTCGCAATGGAAGCCAGAAGACAGTGGAATGCCCTCCAAGTGCTGGCAGAAAATAAGCAGCTACGCCTGAGATTGAACGACGAGAGAACACCATGAACAACGTGAGGGCAGTATGGCACCTTAGATAAATTCCTAAACGTGTAACTTCCTATCATGGGCTCAAGAAGAAACAGAATTCTCAACCAATCCTGTAACTATTAAGATATTGATTGGTAGTTAAATATCGTCCTGTAAAGAAAACAGTGGGCCCAAGGAATTTTATAGATGCTTCCAGCGTTATACAGATGACAGGGGAGCCTCGTGAGCTCATGCTTTGCGGCTGGTATGGCCTCGACGACAGCCATTCACGTGCACAAGGAAGGGAAATTACAGGCAAATCTCACTCAGAAACCTCAACATCAGGTCCTCAACAAAATATAAATAAATCTGAAAAGGCGTATGAAAGGAAATACAGCATCTATCAATAGCCGGGCCCTCGCGGGCTGACAGGACCTTAGGATGACTCGAACGGGTTTACTCACAGAGGCAGCACTGCGGAGGGACCACCACGGGAAACTCTGCAGCCCTGGGCGAGTGGCCGGAACTGCCTGAGCAGAGCCATGTGGATGCCTGGGGAGGAGCAGTGGCCTTCAGCGATGGGATCGAGGTGTATGGTTTGCTTGGCCACCGTAACAGAGCGCCCCAGACTGAGGCCTGATGCGACGGAAACCGGGGGGCTCGCCATTCTGGAGGCCAGTGGACCCAGACCAAGCTGTCCACAGGGAGGGAGAAGCTGCAGGCCTGTCCTTGGCTTGTCGCCAGCTGTCTTCCCCGGGTGACATGTCATGCTGTCTTCCTTCTGTGTGTCTCGGTGCCCACATGTCCCTTTCTTATAAGGATACACTTGCACTGAATCAGGGCCCACCCTAGTGACCTCATGTTAACCTGATCACTGTTGTAAAGGCCCTCTCTCCAAATAAGGTCACATTCTGAGGGACTGGGCGTCAGAATGCCAACATATGTGCTTTAGGAGGACACCACCTGTACTGCTGACGTGACCCCGAAAGGAGGGAGCCAGGGACGTCAATACTCAACCTCAGTCTCCTCCTTCTCCCACCTCCTGCTGGGCTCCCTGCTGACCCAACAAGAACCAGCGGGCACAGTTCATTGATGCAGTCCGCAGATCAGCCCCGGGGGCCGGGCATACGTGGGGGCAGGGCCGCTCGGCAAATGGAAGATGCCGGGCCTGCACTCTCACCCAGGAATGCAAGGCTGGCTCGACTCCAGACGCTATAATGTGAGTCACCTCTTTCACACATCTGCACTCCACACTCAGGGGAGAAGGGTCACCTCACGTCAGGGGAGATGTCGTGGGCCCGGGCTGTGCCTGGGTCGAGGGTAGTGGGACAGGCAGGGTGGACTGTGCTCTTGGGAGCATTTTTATTGCCAGTGGGCAGGAAATGGCAAGGGGGCAGCATGCCCCTGGGGGCTCTCAGGAGGTATCCGAAGGCCGCTTAGGGGGCCGAATCCGGTCGTTGATCCAGTCCACATACTTGGCCACACGGGTGTAGACGCCAGGCTTGTTGAGCCGCCCGCAGCCGTCACCCCAGCTGATGATGCCGTACAGGTAGGCCACCCCGTTCTTCTCGCAGACCAGGGGCCCACCTGAGTCCCCCTGCAGCAGAGCTGCCGGTCAGGGCCAGGGCCGCGCGGGGACCCGTGGCTCAGCTCCTCGGGCCTGGAAACAGCCCCGCCAGCCCCTCCTGCCCCTGGCCTCCCTCACCCCAACCCACGAACTCCCCCAAGAACGCTCTGATGCTCCCTTGTGACACGGAGCTTCCAGGGCCTTTCGGAGGACTTTCTGACAGCTTGGGGACAGATGGCAAAGATATCTATTTCCAAGTAAGTGTGTTGTCCACCTTTCCCCGAGCCTCACAGACAGGACGTCCTCTCGCTTCAGGCTGGGGTGACAGGGCCTGGCCAGTCGTTCTGGGTCCTGAAGCCCCGCCCCGGCTCCCTCTCGCCTCCACGCCAGCAGTGCGCGCCTCTGTCTGGCTGCCCCACTGCCCACAGCAAGGCCCATGTGGACCAGGTGCCCCTGTGTTCTGGCATGTGCTGTCCTCCGACTCTCACCCTCACCCCCACTCAAAACACCCTCCTCACTTCCTGGCAAACTCCTAGTCACCCCTCAGGACAAGTGCAAATGCCCCCTCCTCCACGAAGCTACTCTTGACTTCCACCAAGGGTCCAGCGTCGAGCCCCCACCCCACCCTACCCTCTTGCCACATCTGAGTTATGTGACCTGGGAAGAGGGGTCGGCCCTCTCTGGGCCTGTTCCCGCAGATATAACATGGGGAGAAGTGGCTTCCCCAACCTCAGGGTTGCCTAAACAAGGTCCTCGCTGTGGAGCCCTGGAGAGGGGAGCTGCTGGCACTGGCTGAGGGACCAGCCCCCAGGGAGAACTCTGGATGAACAGGTGTGGTCCCTGAGGTCACGTGGCCAGCCCTGTGCTCGGTTTGGACAGCTGGGATGTGTCAGGCTTGGTGACCCGGCTCTTCCCTGGGCCTCGGTCTCCCGACCTGTGTGAGGGGGTGTCTCTCTGCCTCACCATGGGGCCTTCCCGCAGTGGGGGGGATGGGGTGGGGAGGGGGTGGGTGTGCTCTCTTCCTTGGCTCCCTGCTGGCCCTGTGGGTCAGGGTCCCTCTGCCCAGGGTGCAGGTCTGAGGCTGGGCTACCTGGCAGGCGTCAGACTTGCAGTCGAAGTAGCCAGCGCACAGCATGTTGGGGCTGATGTCCGCCCCGTACACCTCGGGGCTGCTGCACTTGTGGTCGGCCACCAGGGGCACCAGCGCCTCCTGCAGGGAGCTGGAGTAGCCACTCACGTCTGCAGACAGGGACACCGTGGTGGTGGGCAAGGCCCTCGGGCACTGCTCCCCTGGGAACCACACTGGCCAGCGGCCCCACCCCCACTCACTCTCGTCTTGGTGGCCCCAGCCCGCAATCTGGCACTTGTGCCCGGCAGGAAAGGGACTGCTGGGCTCAGGCAGGCAGAGGGGCTGGACGAACTGGGAGCGGACAGCACAGCGGTCCCCCTTCTTCTTCAGCCGGATCAGGACTGGGGGGAGAGAAGCCGGAGGTGAGGCTAGATGGGGGGCCATGATAGACACAGCATGGCCACTGGGTTACCCCAGGATGCAGCCTGCTGGGCAACCCAGAAGAGCAAGAAGGCCAGCCCAGGCTCCCCTTGAGGCCACCCCAGATACCCTTGCTGCCCTGCCCTGGACCCCGTAACCCATCCCACTCCGTCCCTCTCCTCTCTGTCCCTCCCACTCACCCCTCCTCACTCACGGCAACTGAGGACTCTCCCAGGAATCTCCGGGTGCCCACCCCCAGCCCCTCTCCTGGCTCTGGTCCTGCTGCACCCCAACATGTCCTGAGCCTCACCAAGGTCATGGTCACTGGGGTTGAACACCGAGTACAGGGGGTACGGGATGTACTTCTCAATGCGAAACGTCTGTGTCACGTCCGTGGTGCGGTTGAAGAAGTGTTGACCCAGGACCACCGAGACACTCTCCCTGCGGGGGCTGTGGGGGGCCGCTGGCAGCATGACTCAAGCCTTCCCCCCTGCCCTCCCTGAGGTCGGCTCTGCCTCCGCCCATGGGGGCCAAGATCCCAGAGGCAGCCCCCGGAGGGCGGCACTGAGCAGGGCTTCTGTGGGGTGCAGGTCCAGGTCCCTTCATCAGGATCCCAGAGACAAGATCCCAGAGGAAAGATCCCAGAGACAAGATCCCAGAGGCAAGATCCCAGAGGCAAGATCCCAGAGGCAAGATCCCAGAGACAACCCCCAGAGGGCGGCACTGAGCAGGACGTCTGCGGGGCGCAGGTCCAGGCCCCTCCGTCAGCCCTCTGTCCCCATCGGAGCCTTCGTTTCCCCCACTCTGGCTCGGCCCTCCTGCCTTGGCCTCCACCTCCAGGCCACTGCGGAACCTTGGCCACTCGGCCCAACCAGGCCTCGGGCCTGCGGGAATGGCTCCCACGCTGAGGTAGCTGATGCCCAGCACACAGAGGGGCTTGGTGCCCTTGGCCCCGCCAGGCTGGAGACCAGTCAAGGACCAGAGCTGGGCTCCCGGGTTCCGCTTAGGCGGCCTCTCAGGGTGGTGGGCCAGTGAGCTCGGGGCTGGGAACACCCAGGCCTTGAGGGGTTAGGGGATCCCAATTCTGCCTGTGTCCCCTCTAAGGAGCAGGTCCCTTCTGTGACCCACCTGGGGGTCCAGGAGTCTGAGCCACCCCCTCAACCTCCTTCCTTCCTGTCCACATCTGTCCTGTCCTGCCCACCAGTTCTGCTTGGCCCAGACCTGTGACCAGCTGTGCTGGGGTCCCCGTGTGCCCCCACCAAGCTTGGCCCCTCTCAGCGCCTCCTTGAAAGTGGGACTGGATGCCTGCTCCCCTCCCTCAGCTTCTTAACCCCCCAAGTCCATACTGGGGAGGCCTCAGTGGTCCCATTTCACAGGCCCAGCAAAGAGCTTGCTGAGGTAACAGAGGTCAACGCAGGACTGTGCCGGCTGCGCACCCCACACGCTGCAGTCCCTGGGGTGACCGTGAGGGTTCACTGCCAACCTCCTAGCCTTCCCTGAGTCGCCACTGTCAGGCCCGCCCGTTCCCACCAGAACCCCCAGATCTCAGCGCCCCCAGGCACACCTTGGCCCCATCACAGCGGTGAGGGCGGGGGGTCTGCACCCCAGAGCCTCCCATCCCTAGCAACAAGCCCAGCTGGCCTCCCTGCTCAGGCCTGCAGACTGGCGGGGCCTCGGAGTCCAGGAGGGGGGCGGGGCCCGGGTGGGGTCTACACAAGGGATGGCTCCGCCCACCACCCTACTGCGCAGGCGTGGGCTGTTTCTGCCTCCCCCCCCTCTCCCCCAGCATCTGACAGCGGAGCGCCTGCGGCGGCGGGACGGGGCGGGGACGGGGCGGGACGGGGCGGGGACCGGGCGGGGACGGGGCGGGGACAGCCATCCCGGCAGGGACCAGACCAGTCTCCGCAGCCTGAGTCCAGCACCTGGCTGAGCTCCCAGCCTCTCCAGAGGCAGAGGGGCGACGCCAGAGAGCAGGGGGGCCAAAATAAGGAGGTTACCGGTAGGTGGGGCAAACGGGCACCTGGGTGATGGTTGGGCAGAAGTGCGTGGACCGGCAGATGGGTGGGGGGTGGGGGGATGGGGATGGGGTGGAAAGATGCGGATGGTGGGGGGATGGCTGGGTGGGGGTAGACATGGACGTGGGGGGTAGACCCGGGTCAGGGACCCTGGGGCCAGCGGCACTGACCTGTTGGAGAAGCAGTGGGCGGCAGACACCACCCAGCAGGTGTGGACGAGGCTCCCAGCACAGAAGCTGTCCCCGATGTAGATGGCGGCCAGCCAGGGGTGGGAGCCGGGCAGCGAGGACGAGCCCCCGATGATGCGAGGCCGGAGGAAGTTCCTCTTCTTGTGCCGCCTGCCACAGGTGTGGCGTCCAGCCGGGGCGTGCCCAGACAGGGTCAGCAGGGCCTGGGTGGGTGGCTGCTCGATTCTGGCGAGGGATTCTAGGGGCGCAGGTCACTAGTCACATGTTCCCAGGCTGCACCCACCTTCCCCACCCTCAGGCTCCCTGGTGGTTCCCCCGCCGCCTACCCCGCCCTGGGCAGCCCCTCTGGACAAGGGTCCAGGGCTCTGGCCCAGCTCTGCCCTCCTGGGCACAGGACTTACTCGGAGCCTCACTTCCTCCTCTGTAGGGAGACAACCCAATCACAGGCTTTGGGGGACCAGAGTGGCCTGGCAGGAGCCTGGGACCCCCGTGCCAAGCCCAGGATGGCCGGAGAGCACAGGGGCAGGGGCCAGAGGGGGAGCTGGCCTCATGGAGTCACTCCCCAGCGTCTGACCCTAGAGGTGCCTGCTGGGCCTCCTACCCATGGTGTTCACGTGGTCTCTGGGGGCACGTGGTCTCTGGGGGCCCTCCCTGATGGTTCGGGTGGGGAAGAGCCTCCCAGAGGACCTGGTGACCAGCCTGCCTGCTCTGACCCTCATTCCAACCCTCTCGTGGCCTTGGGCCAGCCCTACCCGGGAGCCTCAGTTTCTCCATCTCGCGGATGGGCAGTGGCCCTCCAGAGAGGAGGCCAGGTGAGGGCGCGGGGCCAGCCTCGCCCCCCCAGGAGCAGTGCAGTACCGCAGGCCGCCAGGCGGCAGTATTCCCAGGAGAGAGCCTGGTCCTTCACCACGTAGCACCAGGGCTGCTCGTCCTTGTCGGGGTTCCTGGAGAGGTGGGGCGGTGTCACACTGCTTCTCCGAGAGGGAGGCAGGGAGAGGGATGGGGGGTACCCAGCAGGGCATCCCTTCCACCCCACCCGGAGCAGCCTTCTGCGTGCTCTGCCCAGGGACACAGTGGCCTTGGGGCCGTGGGCCTGACGCCGGGCCTGGCTCCTGTCGCTGGGGCAGCCTCCCAGTCAGAAGGGTCCTGGAGCCCCCAGGACAGACCCTGCCCACCCTGGATGTGGTGGCCTCAGGCGGCCAGGCCAGCGCTGACCGGCAGTAGGCATGGGGGCCGAGGCCGAGCAGGGCCGCGGCGCCCACGGAGTCCACGTGTAGCTCTTGGTACAGCAGGTCGGAGTTCCAGGCCAGGCAGCTGAGGCCCGAGGCTGCTGTGCTGGCCACGCCCCGGTACTCGGTGCCGTTTCCCACGAAGCAGGTCTGGGCAGGCACTGTGGGCAGCAGTGGGCAGCAGTGGGCGGTGAGCCAGGATGAGCAGCCGCCCGACACAGCGGGGCGGCCAACCCACGCAGCTCTGAGCCGGGGGACTCACCGATGTTGCAGAGCCTCCCGGCGTGGCCTGGAGGACAGGCGCACACAGTGGTCCCGGTGGCCACAACCAGGTGGCAGGTGCCCCCGTTCAGACACGGGCTGCTCTGGCAAGCTGCGGGGAGGGCTCGAAGCTCAGCCTTGGGCCTCAGGGCTGGGCGCAGTGTGGGGTCCCGTGCTCGTGGCTGGGTGACCCTCGCTGAGCCCCTTCCCCTGGGTGCGTACAGGGAGGGGCACCCTGTGGGCAGGCTCCTGCCATGCCCCTGCCCGCGCGGTGTACCTGTGTGGGGCGTGTCCTCACACTGCGCCCGGCCGCCCACGCACTCGCACTGCTGCGCTCGGCCCTGGTGCACGCGGGCCCAGCTTTCTCCCGCCTCCAGGTGCTGGTAGCGGGTCTCGTCGAAGCATTTCTCTGGGGACCACACCATGAGTCTCCTGCTCTGCACACCACTGCCCCCAGGCAGGGGCCCCTCCCGGGACACGACCTGGCCCCTCGGCCCCAGGCCCGCTCACCCATGCCGCAGTCCTTGCCAGCGAAGGCCACGGGGCATGTGCAGTGGTAGGACCCAGGGTCCTGGGTGCTGGTGCAGGAACCCCCATTGAGGCAGGGGCTGGAGGCACAGGGATCCAGAGCGGCTGGGGATATGCGGGGGACAGGGGTCTGAGAGCCCGGCCAGCCTGCCCCCCATGTGACCCTCGATGCTTGCCTCCATCGGGCCTGCCTCATTAAATATGCCCCTTCCGGGGTTCCTGGGAGGGTGCGGTGGAGGGAAGGCAGGCCTCCCCGTCCTGCTACAGCCCCACTGGGCGCTCGGACCCTGGCAGGTCGGCCTCTGGTTCTGCGCCCGGCACCCTGGAAGCCTGCGCACCCCTCAGCAGCACAGCCTCTCCTCTGTGACCCGACACTCTGGTAGGCAGGGCTGCCAGCTCCCTGCACACCCCACGGGCCCTCGCCCATCCAGGACTTGGTCAGTGTGGCTGCAGGACCTGGCCTGACCATCAGGGGGAGTTCTGCTCCCAGCAATGGCCAAAGCAACCATGTGGCCCCCAGGAAGGGCGGGGTCCTGCCTGGGAGGGCCTCCCGAGTTGGCTCTCTACTCCTGTGGTCAGGTCCCAGGCTCATGGTCCTCTGCCCCAACCTGGCCCCCAGGCCTACAGTGTGATCAAGCCGGAGGCCCCCTCCTGCTCTGCAGGCAGGAAGCCTGGCCCCAGTCAGCTCTGTCCCCTTGGCCCCACCCCATCAATATGTTGACCTGCTGCCCCAGGCTCACCCGTCCTGGCCCAGCCCCTCCTAGCCTGGACTCAGGCTCCCTCCGCCCCCAGGCACCCACCTGAGCCCTCCCGGGGCTCGGAGGGCTGCGCGCAGTAGCCCCAGGCCCGGTCACGGTCGTAGTTGTGAGTCGTGGCGCACCTGGGGGTAAGGTGTGCGGTGACGGGGCCACCAGGGCCTGCCCACCCGCCGAGGGTGCGGAGCTCTGGGTTCACTGGGTTCACGCACACTCAGCCGCATTCACTCTGGCTCACTCACTCCACCTGCTGGGTGGCAGCTCCCTCTGGAGCAGGAGGGAAGGGGCTGGGGGACCAGAGGCCTTGCCCCAGCCGAGACCCACCACTTCCTGCGGGCACGTCCCTCCAAGGTGCAGGCGTGAAGCAGGCGGCCGCCATAGCGGAAGGGGAACCGGCAGGGCTGCCCGTCCTCGGTGAGCACTGCGGGGCGCCAGAATCAGGGGCTCCCATGCCGGCCCCGGCCCCCCATCGCTCATCCCACTCCCAACCCACCCGTCCAGGTGCAGCCCATCACCTCCTCCAGGAAGCCCCCCTGACCTGACCGACCTGGGCTGCTGGGGGGGGCCGCCCCGAGAGGGGAGGTGAGCCCCTCCCCACGGGGATCCTCTGCCTCTGGGGTGCTCGCGGGTGAGGTCATGGGAGTCACGGAGGTTCCAGGAATAGTGGGGGCCCCAGAGGGCACTGTGGCGTTAGGTCCCTGGGGCTCCGTGTGGTTCTAGGGGGAGCCGAGAGGGTGGTGGCAGCCAGTGTGGGACCGGCTCCCTCACCCCAGACCCTGCCGAGTGGGCTGGTCACAGCCCCAGGCCTCAGATTCCATACTCGGGTCCTCGGATCTTGGAATAGGGACCTGAGGACCCTGGACACCTGAGGGCTCCGCTGGGCCCGAGCCGTCCCCCTCCCGCCAAGCCCAGCAGGTCGGACTGAATTCAGGGCCTGGCGCCATGGCCCCATCCCCCCCCCCCACCTCCAGTCTCAGACCCACGGCCTGTGTCCCTGGGTAGGGGTTCAGGAAGATGGGTCCCCAGGCCCACCCCACCCCCGCCAGCCCAGCACACCCACCTCACCCCGGTGTCCAGCTTCCGCCATGTGGGGCCCCTCCCCCACCCACACCTCCCCCGGCCTCGGCCCCAGGACCCAGAGCGGGCACAGTGCGGTGGGGCAGTGCTCACCCTGCCAGCCTGGGGTTGGGCCCCAAGGGGCGCCAGCAGCAGGAGCAGGAGCGGGAGCAGTGCAGGCGGGGGGCAGGGGCTGGGGACCCAGCACCCCATGGCTCCTGCATGTGCGAGGGCGGCAGGAGTCAGGAGAGCCACAGGGCGGGTGGGTCAAGGCCTCCTGGAAATGATTAACCCTGCTGCACCCCATGCCAGGCGTGTGTCCCCCATATCTGCTGCCCAGCTCACCCCGCCAGGCCCAAAGGGTCCAGCTGGCCCCTCTGGTCTCAGCCAAACTCGTGCTGGACCTGACCACGCCCTTGGGTCTTAGCTTAGAAGCCACCTCCACGAAGTCCCCAGGAAGGCCCGGCAGGCTTGGGCTCCTGCCCCCCCCCCCCCCAGGGCGGGCCCCGCCTGTGTGTGGCTGTCCCTAACCCAGCAGTGGCTGCTATAGGCTCTCTCCAGGACCTGGCCTGCAGGGAGGCTGCTGGGCCACGACCCGCCACAGGCCAGGCACAGAGGAGGCTGGTGTTGCAAACTGTGACCCAGGGTGGGGACCTCTGCTCCCCTCCCAGGATGAGCCTGGGGCAGGGGCCCCCAGGAAGTACAACATGGGGGGTCAGACGGGAGCCACCCTCGGTTTGCCTGACTCAGAGATGCCTCAAAGTGCCCCCCTCTCCTGACCTCCCTCTCTGGTCCCCAGCAGAGCCCTGGCCAGGTCCCAGGGGCCACCAAGGTACTGTCTGAACTGGGCTGGGCAGTGCCCCAAACAGCCGTCCTCCCCACCCACAATGCAGGCTGCCCACACGGGTGCAGTGGAGGCTGGCGCTGCACCCCAACCGTTCCCCCAGTGCAGAGGGAGGGGTGGGTGCTGGGCACAGTGGGTGCTGGTCCTCTTCATTCTGACACCTCCCCTGGGGCTGCTCCCCGGAAGCATCCAGAACCCACAGCCTTGTTGTGCTCTCTGGCCTCTGACAAGCACCCCCTTCCCCACCAACTCAGGAGGAAGGGGTGTGGAGCCCCTCAGCATTGAGCTGTCAATATTGGGGTTCCACCGAGGCAATCTGGGATGATGGTGCCATGTCTGTCTGCTTCAACCCAACGGGCCTGCCACCTGTCCCCTCCTGACTCGGCTCACTGTGGCCTCAGGGCCTTTGCACGGCCCGACACTCTTTCGCAGGCCTTCCACTCAGATAATCCCTCCACAGACAGGCCCTGCCAGACCACCCCTCCAAGGGAGCCGAGAGCGGGCCACGGGCACGCAGCCGAAGGGCCCCGGCGTGCCCGCACAGGCCTGCAGGGACGGTGTGAAGTAGACGCGACCAGGCCTGGCTGCGGGCTCACTTCAAGCCCCGAGAGCTGATTCTTCTCAGTCCTTCCCGACATGGTCATGGAGCCCACAGAACAAGGCCTCCCTGAGGACAGGGCTGGGACCCCACACCCAGCAGGAGGCCAACACTCAGGGTCCTTGAAGACACTTTATTGAGGGAAGGCTGGGTGCCCTGGGGGGCGGGGGCAGGGCCCTGGAGCCCTCTCCTGGTTTGGCTTCCAAGGGCGCGGTGGCCAAGACGGCCCCCCCAAGGCCCTCAGGGTGGGCAGGGCTGCTCCCCAAGCACCGGCCTCCCGAGTGGCAGGCAGCTGGGACGTGCAGTCGGAGGCGGAGGCGGGAGGCCCGCGGCGGGCGGGGCGCGGCGGCCTCAGACGAATGTGGCGTGGTGCGGGCTGGCTCTGGGCTTGGCAGGCCCACCTGGGGCAGGGCTCAGGCTGGGGAGGTCTGATGCTGGGGACCTGCTGGCCTGCGACCTCCGGGGTCCCGTCCGCACCCCTGAAACCCTGCAGCCCAGCCTGGGTGCGGAGCCGGCAACGAGGTCCACGTCGATGATTGTGCTGACCGGGAGGCCTCGGCTGCTGTGGGCCCCACCTCCTGTCACAGGGAGAAAGAGACTGTCACCTGTCTGCCCCACAGCCCTGCAGACACCCAGGGCAGGGGACAGTCCCCACCCACCTGCCTTGCACAGACACCGGCCGTGGGAGACGTTCCCCAGATCCTAAACACATCCGGAGGGCCAGCGGCCCTGGCCTTAGCCTCTGGGCATGTCAGGAGTTGGCGACCGGCCAACCTCAACCTCCGCTAAACAAGCCCCGGCCCCTCAGGCCCCTGCCTCAGGCCCCTGCACGCCCACCGGACAGGCAGAGCCCCTGGCAGACGCCGCACAGTGTGGGCAGGTCCCCAGGCTGGGGTACAGGGCCCAGGTTCTGTGCTGTGGGACCCAGGGGAGCTCCCACTAGTCACAGGGACACCCCGAGCCCCCTGCGCCCAGTCTGTTCCAGGCCAGCCTGGGCCCTCAAAAGCTGTTCAGCACCTGGGCTCCAGCAACTGCCCCCAGCGTGCCACCGTCATCCCCCCCCCCCCGGCCCCCCGCCCATGACACCGAGCTGTGCCCTGCCGGGGCTGTAGTACAAGGTGTGCGGTGTGCTGCGGGAGTGAGGATCGATGTGCCCTGCAGAGGGGCAGGGAGGGCAGGGGGACTGGAGAGGGCGGGGACCGGGCCCCACAGGGCTGCAGGCCCGCTCGGAGGTCCAGCCAGCAGAGCTGTGAGGGAGAACTGTCCCCGGCCTCATCTTGCCCTGACCCCCACCCCAGGCTAGTGTGGCCCCTAACGCCTCCTGGGGGGCTGACTGCAGGGCTTACCCTTAGGCCGAGGGGCTGCTGGAGAGGCGGTAAGTGGGTCCCAAGTGACAGGCCCCTGGCCCGGGCTGGGGGAGGACCAAGCACTGGTGGGTGTTCAGGATGGGACCCGCCCTCGGGGCAAGGCCCCCACAGACACCGGCCTCCCCCGCAGACCTCACGGCCAGCTTCTCCACAGGACGCAAGACCAAGCTCCTGGGCCCCACAACCTCCCAGCCCGGCACCAGGCTGCCCGCCTGCTGGTTGCTTCAGGCCCATGTCTTCGCCTTCACAGACTCGAGTCCTGCCCAGCACCAGCCCTGGGCCTTGCGCGGTGCCTACCCAGAGGCAGCCTGCCCCTCCTCCTGGCTGCGCAGTGCCCAGGCTGCCCCTCCTCACCCCCGGGAGTTCTCGGAAACTCCCTCGTAAGCTTCTAGACCCTGGGTGGGCAGCCCCAACACTGCACATGACCTCTGGCTTGCCTGCGCCGGGGGCCCTGCACAGAGCCCTGCCCCAGGTGCAGCCCCAGGCACCAGCCCGGGGGCACTCGCAGACCCCTCAGCCAGCTGCTCTGCTCACCCCGAGGGTGGGGTGTGGGGGTGCGGGGGCGGTCCCTGGCATATCCACAGGGATGTCGGTGAGCCTAGGGCCAAGGACTCTAGTGCCCGTCGGGACGGGGGAGCCCCGGCCTATGACCCGCAGCGAACAGGCTGCAGGAGGGCCAGCCTGCCTGACGACCTCCCTGGCCGTGGTGCCCCTGGCCTGGCCGGGGAGGTGAGCCTCTCCCTCTGTGGGTCCGAGGCTCGGCACGAGAGTGGACAGCCGCACGGTCAGCCTGTCCTTCCCCGCTGCTCCGTGGCCCCTACATCTCCAGACCCCACTGCACCCCAGGTCTCCACAAGCGCCCCCACAGGCCTGCCAGGCAGTGTCCTCTCAACGACGAGTCCACGAGAGCACAGGGACCGCTCTGCGGCACATCGGTGCCAGGGCACCGGCTGCGGATGCCCCCCCGGGGCTGCTCTGGCCAGAGGTGTCGCACTCAAATCAGGGGAAGCTGCTCATCCTGAGGTCCAGGGGCCTGTCCTTGGTCCTTCAGCAAATGCTCGGCTGGGGCCTGCCCCAGGGCCACCGCGTCCCAGCGTGTCACTGGGTCCCAGCGGCTCAGGGTGGGCGATGGAGTGGGGTCATCCCGCACTCTCAGGCCCCCTTGGGGCCCTGTCTGCTGCTGCGGGACCTGGGACCCCACACACGTTCAGGAGCCTGCCGGGGGACAGGATCAGACACAGGCCCCGAGCAGGACAGCTCAGTTGACTCAGGACAGGGAGGGACTCCTGTCTCTGGAACAGGGCAGCGGGTGCGCGGGCCGAGGACGTGCACGTCACAGGCAGGGCGGCCGAGGTGCAGGCCCGGCCCGGCCTTCTGAGGGAATGTCGGCCCCAGGCCTGTGACTCGGGACAGGGAGGGACTCCTGTCTCTGGAACAGGGCAGCCGGCGCGCGGGCCGAGGACGTGCACGTCACAGGCAGGGCGGCCGAGGTGAGGCCCGGCCCTGCCTTCTGAGGGAATGTCGGCCCCAGGCCTGTGACTCGGTGGCAGGGACCCAGCCCTGGAGCAGCCGCCAGCCCGCTCCGGGAGCGACAGCGACACAGACGACCCCAGGGCTCCGGGGTTGCCGTTTCCAAAGGGAGCCTGGTTCCGCTTGCGTCTGTGTCCCCACCCCTCGGACACAGAGGCACCGTGGGAGCCGGGCCTCGTCTCCTGACCCTCTGGTCGCCTGCTGACCCCCTCCCCGAGGCTCCCAAATTCGGCTGACCCAATTCTGTGGTTGCCACTCTGCAGGCAGCCCCCCAAGGGCCCAGCTGGGACACCCACTGCAGTGCGGGGCCTGGGGAGCCCCTCCCTCTGCCCGATGGGCAGCCCACCCACCCACTGCTCTGTGTCCCCCAGGCCACCCCTCTGTCCACTAGTGTTCTCTGCACCGGCAGCCACATCTGCTCTCGTCCCCAAGACCTCACGTCAGGGAAAGGTGGTGGTGGAGTCAAGACCCTCCTCTTGGGTACAGTGGGGTACAGGGCCGCACTGCTGGGCCAGGGCGGGGCACAGCCTGACCCCGGCCACCTCTAGGTCCCCTGGGGATCTAGCCCCAGGTGCCTGTCCCAGGCCTCTTCCGCTCCCAGAGGGACCCTCCTTGTCTCTTCTGCTCTGAATCATCTCTAGCCGGGTCCTTTATGTCTTTCAAGGCCATCTTGCCACTTCCTCCGTGAAGTCTCCCAGGATGCCCCTCAGATGCTCTCACATCCCAAGGAAACATGGGCACAGCTGAACTGGAAAATACGGGGAGGGGAGGGGCCAGGGCAGGGACTCCACGGTCCACCCTCAGTTGCCAGCCCTCTGGGCCCCCATCCCATTCCGCTTGCTTCCTCGGAGGCTGACGGGATCCCCGTGGGAAG